GTCCTAGACGTCCACGTGGTACTGCTTTGAGATTTCTCTCTATAACTTGCTGTTGAGGTCCACGGAATTTGTTTAAAGTTTCACAATATAGCTTATTGTTGAGGTCCGTGGCACAATGATCTACCTCCATATATCGCGGGACAGATCTGCGAGACTATTTTCTGATCTAAATCTATATATCGTGGTAAAGGTCTGTGTGACTGTGAGTGAGAGAGGAAGGGTGTTTTTCCCTTGGACACCAGATTTATAGTGTTTCATGTAGGGAATCGAACCCGGGTCTTTTACGTGACGAGCGAAAGCTCTTTGAAGAAAAGCATCAGTGGAGAAACGTTAATAGCAAAACAAACTGTCATACTTTGCCTGTGACGTCAGTAATGCCAAATCAGTCGTTCCGGCGACAGCGTACCATCTGCAAGTGACAGCTGTGAGCCCACAGTTAATAAATGTATATCGACGCTGTGAGATGCACAATCAAACCTCTCTATTGAGGACGAGATTATTGATGGTTATACGGCTGAATACGTTGCCTAGATATCAATAATCTCAGAATTATTTATTATGATCTGATGAGTTGCACGCTGTGAGAGTGTAAGTTGGAAATCATCACTAGATAACGAGTGGTATCGAAGGCGTAGGATCGTATATGGAGATATATACGTGGGTATATGCTTAGTACCTACCTTGACTAGTGGTTGTTTAAATAATAACTACTTCTGACGGTCTCTTTACAAATGCATGCGAATTTGTAATTGTACAGTCACTCATGAACGGCAGGTAATATTTCAGACGTCAACGACGCCGTCAGTAGCAGCAGGCGACGCGGAAATAATCTATAGCAAATACATTTGCTGTAACAACAGGTTTACGACTTGTCACACGCAGAAAAGAATCTGCTGTTACTTTGTCATAGTCGTTGCAGATAAAAGCAGGTGAAATGAAGGCTGTCACATTCTGTTGGTTTTGGAGTGTCTTGATTCTGCTGGACACTACGACCTGTAGCAATGGTGAGAAGAAAGATGGAAGTACGATAGCACCACCGGGACATAATCTGCCCTTTGGATCACATACCACTCCCTTTGAAGTACCTGTTGTCGACAAGTTTCCAACGCCAAATGTGTTCTTTGAGGAATACATGCATAAAAGTAGGCCTTTGGTGATACGGTCGATTTTGAACTTGACAACATTTCCTGCAGTTGTGAAATGGACGGACGACTTCTTCAGGTACGGAAAACCATACGTTTAATTGTGATGTTTGTGTTTTGTTAACACCCCTCTCGGGAATATTCCGAGTATGACAGTCATGCACATCCGGTTTAGAATAGATCTTCAGAAAGCCATGCTTGCCGTAACAGGCGACTTAGCTTGTAAGAGGCGACTAACGGGATCGGGTGGTCAGGCTCGCTGACTTGGTTGATGCATGTCATCGTGTCCAAATTGCGTAGATCAATGCTCATGATATGAATCACTGGATTGTCTGGTCCAGACTTGATTATTTAGACCGAATATTGCTGAGTGCGGCGTTAAACGACAAACAAACAAACAAACAAACAAGTCTCAAAGTTTTGTGCGCTAGGAAGGAGGTGGGGGAGGAGTACATCGACGCAGAGCCGGCCCGGAAGGAGAACCGGAACCTGACTCCCGAACAGATGACGATGCGGTCCTTCCTGCAGCAATACGCCGAAAGGGAGCTCTACCTCGTCAGCGGCATCGAGGTGTTCCGGGCCAAGGACAAGCTCATGGGTGAGGAGGGTCATTGTGTTAACGTTAAATCAACTATATGTCAGCAAAATATCAATACCATGGCAGAATTATGTCAGTGCTTTAGACATAGTCCTTGGTTATTCTGTTAAAAATAATGTCGTAAGATGTGGAGAGTTATGCCCCTTGACTGCAAGAATCTGATCGTTGCGAGTTCGAGTCTCCCTATGGAGGCCGTGACGGAGCACATGGCGTGTATACCACGATGCCAAATACCTCACCATGGCATACATTTTCAGTGATCATGTCAAAGTTAACGGTAAACATCCGTCCGAACGCTCTGTCCGCAGATGACCTGTATGTGCCCCGGTCACTGCACTGTGGGGGACTCCAGTTCCTCATCGAGTCTCTGGTCATGTGGTTCAGCAGCGGCGGCACCAAGTCCGTCCTCCACAACGACGACTACGAGAACTTCAACTGCGTCCTGGACGGGACCAAGGAGCTGGTATTCGTAGACACGGTAGAATTTTTGATAGACACGTTGTTCTTATTCTTGACATGGCGTTCTTATTCAAAGACACGGTGTTTTTATTTATAGACACCGTGTGCTTATTCAAAGGCACGACATCTTATTCACAGACAATGTAAACTTACTCGTAGACACGGTATTATTTTTGATAGACACGTTGTTCTTATTCTTGACATGGCGTTCTTATTCATAGACACGGTGTTTTTATTTATAGACACGGTGTGCTTATTCAAAGGCACGGCATCTTATTCACAGACAATGTATACTTATTCGTAGACACGGTATTATTTTTGATAGACACGTTGTTCTTATTCTTGACATGGCGTTCTTATTCATAGACACGGTGTTTTTATTTATAGACACGGTGTGCTTATTCAAAGGCACGACATCTTATTCACAGACAATGTATACTTATTCGTAGACACGGTATTATTTTTGATAGACAGGTTGTTCTTATTCTTGACATGGCGTTCTTATTCATAGACACGGTGTTTTTATTTATAGACACGGTGTGCTTATTCAAAGGTACGGCATCTTATTCACAGACAATGTATACTTATTCGTAGACACGGTATTATTTTTGATAGACAGGTTGTTCTTATTCTTGACATGGCGTTCTTATTCATAGACACGGTGTTTTTTATTTATAGACAAGGTGTGCTTATTCAAAGGCACGACATCTTATTCACAGACAATGTATACTTATTCGTAGACACGTTATTATTTTTGATAGACACGTTGTTCTTATTCTTGACATGGCGTTCTTATTCATTGACACGGTGTTCATATTCATAGACACGGTGTTCATATTCATAGACACGGTGTGCTTATTCATAGACACGATGTTCTTATTCATAGACACGGTGTTCATATTTATAGACACGGTGTTCATATTCATAGACACGGTGTGCTTATTCGTAGACACGACGTTCTTATTCATAGACACGGTGTTCTTATTCATAGACACGGCGTTTCTTATTCATTGACACAGTGTTCATATTCATAGACACGGTGTGCTTATTCATAGACACAGTGTTCATATTCATAGACACTGTGTGCTTATTCATTGACACAGTGTTCATATTCATAGACACGGTGTGCTTATTCATAGACACGACGTTCTTATTCATAGACACGGTGTTCATATTCATAGACACTGTGTGCTTATTCATAGACACGTTGTCCTTATTCATGGACACGGTGTGCTTATTCATAGACACGGTATCCGTATTCATAAACACGGTGTTCTTATTCATAAACATGGTGTTCTTATTCATAGACACGGTGTGCTTATTCGTAGACACGATGTTCTTATTCATAGACACGGTATTCTTATTCAGAGAGGGGCGGTCGGGTAGCCTAGTGGTTAAAGCGTTCGCTCGTCACGCCGAAGACCTGGGTTCGATTCCCGAGATGGGTACAATGTGTAAAGCCCATTTAAGGTGTCCCCCGCCGTGATATCGCTGGAATATGGCTAAAAGCGGCGTTAAACCATACTCACTCACTCACTCATTTATTCACAGACACTGTATAATTATTCATAGACACGGTATGCTTATCCATAGACACGGTGTTCTTATTCATAGACAAGGTGTTCTTATTCATAGACACCGTATGCTTATTAATAGACACGGTGTTCTTATTCATAGACACAGTATGTTTATCCATAGACACGGTGTTCTTATTCATAGACACGATGTTCTTATCCATAGACGCTGTAAGCTTATCCATAGACACGGTGTTCTTATTCATAGACGCTGTAAGCTTATCCATAGACACGGTGTTCTTATCCATAGACACGGTGTGCTTATTCATAGATACGGTGCTCTTATTCACAGACACGGTACGCTTATTCGAAGACACGTTATGTTTATTCAATGTGTCGACCAGCCCCTACCAACACCCCCGCCCACACCGCCCTGTTATAGGAGGGAACGTTGAGTGATATGTGTAGCAACATCAGCAGCTGCCCTTTAGTGTTTGCATTCACCAGCATCATGTCACATACATCCGGGTGCTTACTCTACACTCCAGAAACACCGCGAGCAGGTACAAGCGGATGGTTACCATGAGGACGGTAGCTATAGTGACGTGGATGTTGACAAAGTTGACATGCACAAGTTCCCGCGTCTAGGGGAGGTGCCCGTCTACAAGGCTGTGTTGCATAAGGGGGACTGCCTCTACATACCCTACCAGTAAGTGGAAACGTTTATAACAGTATATTTCCACAACATATTGTTTTCTGTTACTAGTGTGTTTCAAATGCTTTGTCTTGTCTGTTTAACGCCAGCTATATGACAGCGGTTTGTAAATAATCGAGTCTGGACCAGACAATCCAGTGATTACAACCATGAGCATCGATCCACGCAATTGGGATCGATGACATGCATCAACCAAGTCAGCGAGCCTGACCACAGCAACCCATGCTTGCCGTAAATGGCGACTATGCTTGTCGTAAGAGGCGACTAATGGGATCGGGTGGTCAGGCTCGCTGACTTGGTTGATGCATGTCATCGTATCCCAATTGCGTGGATCGATGCTCATGATATCCATCTCTTGATTGTCTGGTCCAGACTCGATTATTTACAGACCGCCGTCAGGTAGCTGAAATATTGCTGAGTGCGGCGTTAAACAACAAACAAACAAACAAAGAAAAACGCAGTCACCGAAATTATTATTCGGCGTGTTTTTTAAACGAGTTTTGCGCATTCCGGAGTTGTGCGGGTGTGAGTAGGTTCTCTGTGTTCAGGTGGTACCATCAAGTCAACTCCCCCGGGGGCCGGAGCCTCGCCATCAACTTCTGGTTCCTGCCCACCCGCTGGTTCAACACCTCCGACTGTCAGGACAAGAACCTCCAACACCAAACACAACCGAGTTCAAAGTTCGACATCGGACAGAACCAAATGCAGGCCTGGTATCACTGTTTTTTGTGTGTTTTTGTTGATGTTTTTGTGTGTGTGTGGCGTGCGTGTTTTGGGGATGGGGATGGGTGGTTTTAGTTAATAGTTTTTACAAGAATCATTTGTTCCGGAAAAGCTCGAAAAAGTTCCTAGATCCTTCACTGGATATGCTGGAAAAAAATAATGCGTTGTGAATAGAAGTCTGTTTTTGTGTGTTTTGAAGCCAGCACAACGCGTCACACTAGGGACCACTGGCCTCTCCCTAGTTTGGTTATGCCCGACTTAATGTCTGTGGACACTTTTTAAACTTATGTACATTTTAACTAAACTGAAGAGCAAAAGAAACTATACCTCACCGTTGGCTTTATCAATTGAAAATATCTAAAGTTAGCGATATTATACAATAAAACAGTTCAGTTTAACTGGACTGGTGCTTATTCGGCACTCAAAGAATAGTTTTACATGGTTTTATTTTTAAAAATATAATTTGTTTTAAAACTTAAAAATTAAAAAAACAATATTTTGCATAATACACAATTGCTGATGGGTATCTTAGACATACTATCCTTGAAAATCAATTAGTTTGCTTTGATTCGTCACAAATTTACATTTTAAACATAATAGGGTCATGTGGTTGCAAGCTTAATGTGGAAATCAATTTGTAATCAAATTTAACAACAGTTCTTTCAATTTGTCAATTACACGTATAACAAGGTCGGTAGTCTTTCTTTTGCCCTCAGTTTATATTAGCCTATAGTTTTCATTCCATCACACAACTGTGATACACAGTGCAGTCTTTTCAACACATAAATCACGAGAAACATAGTGAGTGGGTCGGTGGGTTTTAGGCCGCTTCAAGCATTAATCCCGCCCCATCATGTCTCACCCTCTACATACGTACAGACGTACATGCCTTATACATTTTCAGGAACAAATTCACATGGTCCTTTCAAGAGAATGAAACGTCTAAAGCCAAATACAAAGAAGCAATTTCAACAAATTTTCCCAAGTCTCAATTTCTTCAAGATGAGGTAAGTTAAACCAAGTATACAGGTTTGATTTGTCTCACTTCGCTGTATGACTCAACCCACTTTGTCTCACTTCACTGTATGACTCAACCCACTTCGCTGTATGACTCAACCCACTTTGTCTCACTTCGCTGTATGACTCAACCCACTTCGCTGTATGACTCAACCCACTTTGTCTCACTTCGCTGTATGACTCAACCCACTTCGCTGTATGACTCAACCCACTTTGTCTCACTTCGCTGTATGACTCAACCCACTTTGTCTCACTTCGCTATATGACGCCATCCACTTTGTCTCACTTCGCTGTATGACTCCATCCACTTTGTCTCACTTCGCTGTATGACTCAACCCACTTTGTCTCACTTCGCTGTATGACTCAACCCACTTTGTCTCACTTCGCTGTATGACTCAACCCACTTTATCACATTTATTTTCCTTTTTGTCTCACTCCAGGTACTGTATGACACCACCCACTTCAGCCACATTGCTCCACCCATGTTGACTCACTGTACGGCTCCACCCACTTTGCCTAACGTCAGGCAATGTATGACACCACCCACTTCAGCCACATGACTCCACCCACATCAACTCCCTGCATGACTCCACCCACTTTGCCTAACGTCAGGCACTGTATGACACCACCCACTTCAGCCACATCACTCCACCCACATCGACTCGCTGCATGACTCCATCCACGTTGTGGTGGTGAAATGGGGTTAAACGTCGCGTCCAAGATTATTGCACTTATATAGCAACGTTCCACCCACGTTGACTCACTTCAATCACTGTATGTTTATTCTATTTTTGTTTATTTGTTGTTTAACTCCATACTAAGGAATATTCCAGCTATTTGATGGCGGGCTATAATAATCGAGTCTGGGCTAGACAATACAGAGATTGATATCATGAGCATCAATCCATGCATTTGGGATACGATGACATGCAACAGCCAAGTCAGCGAGCCTGACCACCAGATCACGTTGGCCGCCTTTTCCCACAAGCATAGTCGTCTTTCATGGCAAGAATGGGTTGCTGAAGACCTATTCTAACCCAGATCAGTCACTGTATTACTCCACCCACTCCAGCCTTGTGGCTCCACCCACTTTGCCTTATGTCAGTCACTGTATGACACCACCCACATGGCGCCAGCCACATTGACTCACTGTATGACAACACCCACTTTGCCTCATGTCAGTCACTGTATGACACCACCCACATGGCTCCACCCACATTGACTCACTGTATGACTCCACCCACTCCAGCCTTGTTGCTCCATCCACTTTGCCTCATGTCAGTCACTGTATGACACCATCCACATGGCTCCACCCACATTGACTCACTGTATGACAACACCCACATTGACTCACTGTATGACAACACCCACATTGACTCACTGTATGACAACACCCACATGGCGCCACCCACATGGTGCCACCAACATTGACTCACTGTATGACAACACCCACATTGACTCACTGTTTGACAACACCCACATTGACTCACTGTATGACAACACCCACATTGACTCACTGTATGACACCACCCACATGGCGCCACCCACATTGACTCACTGTATGACAACACCCACATCAGCCACATGGCTCCACCCACTTTACCCTACTTGTGTCTTCCCTATATATGAATATGTTATTTGATTCCATCGAGTTCCATTAAGTTCAGGGTTCAGTGCAATACTGTGTAAAGTGCTATGCGTTCATAACCCGCCTGGTGTAAAATAGACTTTTGAAATTAATTCAACATCCCCTTTGCATCATCACTCAACTTGTTTCAGTTATTCAAGGACCTTGACAAAGACGGCAGCTTGTCGCTGTCGCTGGAGGAATTGTACAATGTGGACATCAACAAGATTCTGCAGAAGTATTCAAGCCTTGATGCAGCACTAACTGCAGAGGACATTACACATGATGAACTTTAGCAGCTGAGTAACTTTGACAGGGGTAAACATTAACCCTGGTGTAAAGTGGCAACAAACTCTTGCTAGGGGTACTGGCGTATTTAACCCCGTTTACCTGTACATATAATGATAAGTTAAGTAGTGGTATGTTACTCTGTGATCCAGAGGGCCAGAAAACTTTTTGAGGAATTGAGTTTTTACTCCAGGGTTTCTAATTTAATATTGGGTTATTACATTTTTCATTTGGTAACCAATATTTTTTCACTCATCTATTCATCACTCTATTGGGTTTTTCCCAAAATTAGTGAACATTTTAAGATTTAAAAATGAAATAATGTTATAGATGTATATAACTGTTCTAAATATAAAGGCTTGGCTTGGAAAATAAATACGCTTGTAATTGTGTTTCGGAAATTAGCTCCTTTGTACGCATGCTGAAAAAGCTTCTTTGGGTATTTATGAGTGATGTTTTTATACATTTGAGTTTTTCATTTAATGCATGTGTTTCTGTATGCAAGTTAATTGAAAGTAATTGGGTTTTGAATATTTTTGGGGGGTATTTTACGCAAATACGCTGCTTATCTGTAGCTCTGGCGATCACCATGTATGTTGGTTGGCCTGCAACAGTAGTGACATGATGGTCCAAGACGGGGGCGGACATGATGCCACACGAAATGAAGGGGGGGAGATTTGCTTTATATCATGGTTGCCATTTGGCTGAGATATTGCCGTTACAACATTAACAAACACACTTTATATAATTAGTTTACAAAAAGTCGCAATAAACACAAGCAATGACTGGTTAAACGTGTGAGCATCTGTCACAGCCATGGATGCAGAATGACATAATCCAGCTGGCGGGAACTGATCACTTGATCTCTGTGTTCGTCTACTTACAAAGTGAGTGAGTTTGGTTTAACGCCACTTTAAACAGTATTCAGTGTCAGCTTAATGTGTGAGGAAACCCAAAGTGATGCAGTTCTCAGACGTTTACTACTTGTGAAACCAACGAGGCACAGTTACGGTGGCAAGTGACCTAGAAAAATAATCAAGCTTAACCGGGATTCGAACCCACAATCACAGGAGTGAGTGAGTTGGGTTTAACGCCTCTTGTAACAGTATTACAGTTATATCACGGAGTGTCAGCTTAATGTGGGGGGAAAGCCCGAAGTGATGTAAGTCTCAGACGCTTACCACTTCGGTGAAACCCACGAGCACGGGTATGGTGCTGACAAACCTAGAAACATAATCAGGGCGAACTGGGATTCAAACCCACAATCATAGGTTTCTGGCCTGCCAAAGGGACGTAACTCTGCACAGCAAATCGTGGCATCTTAGACCACTGGAGCTTTGTTACTGAGCAAATGTCAGTATTCACTGACAAGTGACATACTTTATTGCTTGGATTCAGAATAAAGACTCCAGACATTTCAGTATACGGGTTGTCTAACTTGCACATGACACCCTTCTCAACATCTTGCACCTTATTTACTCTGTCAAACTATCAACACAAACTCTTACCACAAAAGTAGTTTATTACAATATGGTTGTAATTCCCCTTGTATAATAATCAACATTTTAACAACTCATTGTATTAATTCAATAAACATAGACATGGCAATGATAAATGGAAGATGTATTAAACAGGGTATAGCTCTAGGAATGGGTGAGTAACATTTACCACAGACAGGGCACAACAGACAGGGCACAACCTACAGGGCACAACCTACAGGGCACAACCTACAGGCCATGGCCAGCAGCGCACACAAACACTGACCACAGTAACACCAGACACGACTCAGTCTATGTACCTCCTGGATACATACAACACGACTCAGTCTATGTACCTCCTGGATACATACAACAAGACTCAGTCTATGTACCTCCTGGATACATACAACAAGACTCAGTCTATGTACCTCCTGGATACATACAACAAGACTCAGTCTATGTTCCTCCTGGATACATACAACAAGACTCAGTCTATGTACCTCCTGGATACATACAACAAGACTCAGTCTATGTACCTCCTGGATACGTACAACAAGACTCAGTCTATGAACCTCCTGGATACATACAACAAGACTCAGTCTATGTACCTCCTGGATACATACAACAAGACTCAGTCTATGTACCTCCTGGATACGTACAACAAGACTCAGTCTATGTACCTCCTGGATACAAAAACAAGACTCACACAACAGTCACTGTCTAAACAGACAATTTTATAATTATCACGCTCAACATCCACGCAATATATATCAGAGAACATATCATCTTCCTGAGGCAAGGGAGTTAACCGACTATAAAAGTCCAGTTTCCATCCTTGCCAAACTAGGCTGGATTTATGGAGTTACATTGGATTTCAACGTGCAGATTTCGGTTGACTGCAGGTTTTGCAAAAGATGTGTCCCCTCAGCTGGGCTTTGACAGATATTTTTCAAATGTTTTCATGTCTCTAATCAAGGTGCACTTCGCAAGGTAAGACCTGTTTTATTTCAATATATATCTTGATCACTGATCAGATCGTGTCGACCTGGCGCCGTCATTTTGTTTGAAGCAAATGAAAGTGATATGACAGGTGGAATCTCATTGGTCAATAGGAGGGGCTCAGAAGGGACACGACTCATAACAGCCACTGGTGGTGCTGCGATCGAGCCCAGAAATTCCAGCCTTGTTCGGCAAGGGTGGAAAGAGGACTTTTATAGTCAGTTAACTCCCTTGCCTGGGGAAGTAGAGAACATATATGAAGCTATTAGGTAGGAATGCCATTGTATATCGCTATTATGATGTACATGTATTATTAATTTTTTAATGTTGACACTGTAGTGACACAAATTGATGAATATCAAAACTAAATGAACAATTCACTCACATTAGAAACAATTACTACAATTAAGATTATCCCGGCTAAGATGGACAATGAAAGGGCAGAAAGTTCAATTCTAAATACTAGATAATAGATCAATACTAAAATTTCAGTGACACCCTGAATTTTAGTAATGGCATCTACCTCTGCCTCTTCAACATTTAGGTTGAAACTCACTATTTTGTGACAACCCTTCTAAAGCACCACACAAACTGATGAACAAGCTCATCTTGTTTGATCGATCGATCGATCACCTGTACATATACTATATTATTAAGTACTAAAACCTCATATCTGTTTCATGTATTATGAATGCATATTAACACTGATATATCAATAATATATTAAAAATCTTTTGCTGAAATAAAATGTCTGCAGTCAATCCACCAAGTTCATTCTAATACTCATGTCAAGAGCTGTAACTTGTGTTTAATTGCATACTCAACCACATTATATTCAGAATGGAAAATCTAAAATATACAACTCAAAAGAAGTAAAAGAACATATACATGTCGTGCCAAGTTCATTCTAATACTCATGTCAAGAGCTGTTATTCCTCTTAATTTGTGCTTAATTGCGTACTCAACCACATTATATTCAGAATGGAAAATCTAATATATAGTAATAATACAACTCAAAAGAAGTAAAAGAACACCCGATTCTTTCATATTACATGTCGTGCCATGACAGATTAACCATAGTAATATGAAAGAATCGGGTGTTCTTTAACTTCTTTGTGAGTAGTATACATTAACTAAACCTTTAATCTTTCTTAAAGTTCATCCAAGGTCATCAAAACTCATCATGCCTATGGCTAGACCTTTTTTCTTTATCGGTGTCAAGTTTTGTCTCCTGCTTCTGTCCCTTACTAGTGACCTTGACCTTGACATCATTAATCACTGGTCTTTCGTCATTGGCTGTTCTGTGAGCTGAGCCTCCATGCTTGGCGACCTCCTCCAACATTTTCTCAAACTCCTCGTCATCAGGAGTGATCATGGGGATGTTGATCTTACGATCTGATTCCTCTTGAAAGTCATCCTGGACTTTTATTGGCTCCTTTTGGGGTTTCTTCTTATGAACTTTCTCCTTCTGAAGCTTCACACCAGCAGCAAACAACTCTGGGAACTTCATGACAGCATCGTCAATGTCAAAGGCGTAGAGCTGCGCCCATGATAGGACCTCAGTCGTTTGATTCTTGCTGATGTAATGGAAAAACTGAAAACAGGAGTGAGTGAGTGAGTGAGTGAGTGAGTGAGTGAGTGAGTGAGTGAGTGAGGTGAAATGGGGTTTAGTGAGTGAGTGAGTTTGGGTTAACGCCGCTTTTAACAGTACTCCAGTTATATCGCGGTGTGGAAATGGGGTTTGACATTGCGTCCAAGATTATTGCACTTATATAGCGACGTGCATGTATGTTTGTGTGTTTGATTTATAGAGCTAGCTAACTGAGATACCATGCCGCAGTTTAACATGAATACCCCACTCAGACACAGTATACCGACTCCAAGCCGACCAGTCCTTGTTTTAGCCCCTTAATGCCGAGCGCCAGACAGGGTAACAACAAGTACCATCTTTTACCGTCTTTTGGTAAGACGCGTCCGGGGATCAAACCCCAGACCTTCCGCTCTCCGGGCGGACGCTCTACCACTAGACCACGGAGGCGGTCGAGTGAGTGTGAGTGACATTTACCTTCTTGATGAAACCAAGAGCACCAGTATGAGAGATCAGGCATGCAAATCAGGTAAAAAGGTTAAACTCATAAGGTGTATAATCTGTCTGGTAACCATAGTAACTCATTGGATTGGCATTTGTGGTACTTTCCAAAACATGTTTTCAATCTTTTAGTATATACTTGGCAAGGGACCTCCATACATAATAGAATTTCAAGTACGTTTAAGTAAGAAATTTGGATTTTATCTATTAATACTATGAATGGGAACACCTTGGATAACAAGTATTTGTCACAGAGTGACGAAATATCCTCCGCCTGTACACCATAGTACCAAATATGAAGACAATCCAGCGATTAGTTCTTGAGATATTGTGGCAACACCGTTTTCCAACTCCAAAAACAGATTTGCCTGCTGTGACCTTGAAAATGGGGTCAAGGTCACCAAATCTGACAGGTGTATGCGGTGTCTGTATATACACTATAGTTCCAAATATGAAGACAATCCAGCGATTAGTTCTTGAGATATCGCGGCAACACCGTTTTCTAACGCCAAAAGCAGATTTGCCTGCTGTGACCTTGACAATGGGGTCAAGGTCACCAAAACCGACTGGTGTCTGCGGTGTCTGTATATACACCATAGTTCCAAATATGAAGACAATCCAGTGTTTAGTTCTTGAGATATCGCGGCAACACCGTTTTCCAACTCCAAAAGCAGATTTGCCTGCTGTGACCTTTAAAATGGGATCAAGGTCACCAAAACCGACTGGTGTCTGCGGAGTCTGTATATACACCATAGTTCCAAATATGAAGACAATCCAGTGTTCAGTTCTTGAGATATCGCGGCAACACCGTTTTCCAACTCTAAAAGCAGATTTGTCTGCTGTGACCTTGAAAATGGGATCAAGGTCACCAAAACCGACTGGTGTCTGCGGAGTCTGTATATACACCATAGTTCCAAATATGAAGACAATCCAGTGTTTAGTTCTTGAGATATCGCGGCAACACCGTTTTCCAACTCTAAAAGCAGATTTGTCTGCTGTGACCTTGAAAATGGGATCAAGGTCACCAAAACCGACTGGTGTCTGCGGAGTCTGTATATACACCATAGTTCCAAATATGAAGACAATCCAGTGTTTAGTTCTTGAGATATCGCGGCAACACCGTTTTCCAACTCTAAAAGCAGATTTGTCTGCTGTGACCTTGAAAATGGGATCAAGGTCACCAAAACCGACTGGTGTCTGCGGAGTCTGTATATACACCATAGTTCCAAATATGAAGACAATCCAGTGTTTAGTTCTTGAGATATCGCGGCAACAAACAGGTGGGACGTACGGACGGACGTACAGACGTACGGACGTACGGACGTACGTACGGACGGTCGTGAATACTATATCCCCCGCTTCGCGCTTTCGCGCGGCGGGGGATAACAACCCAAAAGCCCAGATGGGACTCAACCCCCAAAAGTACTAGAATCTGTACTTTACTAAGAATGTTATCCCAAAACATAACATTTGTTACATGTGTGCAATGATATTGCCTACTTCACAGAGCCTAGATGACCGGAGCCTGCGATTTCTGTAGAGACGTTGAAAATGTAAAGGTTCACAATGGACTGGCAGGTCGGAGAGAAAACAGCATATTGATAAGCTAACCATTCTGAAGTTTATGGGAAGCTGAGCATTCCATATGTTACATGGTTCACTTGCTACAACAGTGTGCAATTTGCTTCCTCTCTCCATTTGCCATACCACAGAGTAAAAGAGCTCGCCTGAAGTTGAAGTCCTGGGTCCAATTGCAAGAAAACTCTTTTATGATATCAAGGCTTGAAACATGAGAATGGTTAGCCTGTGAGATTATCCACATGTGCAAAAATGGCTTTGAGTGTGCTGCAATGTGTGTGGGTACCAAGCGGCGCTACAGCGGCAGTCGAAGAACTGGTTTCTGGTTTCATTCAGAAGGTCAGGAAATCACATCAACTGGGCCAGTAAGATGGAACAAAAGGCAGTCGGAGGCTCTTGTTGATCTGATCTTGAGCTGGATCCAGGGTAGCAAAACTAGGGGAGGATATGCAAAGTGTGAAGAGTCTTATATGAGATCGCTAAAGCATCATGATCCCTCATGATCCCCTGTCCAGACTGGTACAAACACTGGTAGCTGATGATTGAACTGATTCGCATCCATTCCATCAGCAATGACAAACCTTTGTGAAACTGAACATTCACTCCGTCGAAAATATTCTAAGATCAAGAAAGACTTGAGTTGCTACAGAAGGCAGTCATTTTATGATTTATGTAAAAGTTGAAGCAAATCCCCAAATGATGTAGTAAGACTTATATCAGACTGACTATACCTGGGACAGCCGGACACACAGCTGGTAGAGGTTGAGGCGACTGTAGCAGGCCCAGATAACACTGCCATAGTGAAAGTCAACAGCACCGATGAGGCCATGAACATAATCAATCATTGACGAAGGGCAAAAATGCCACTGAGTAACCTTTGATGAATGTTCTGCCACACGCCATTGAAACAGGTAAAACAGGTAAAACAGGACATCAGCCCAGGAACAGACTGTTCGGGGAAAAACATCTCTATGGAAATTGGAACCACTTCTTCCCAAACCACCAAGTCCACCTCTTCCGGAACCACAAAGTTCTGCGTTTTTCGAACCACCAAGTTCACCTCTTCCCACAACACCCAAGTCCATCTGTTCATTGTTAGTCTACAGCCAACATAATTTATAAATCAGAGTGTAAAAGGCAACAGGGTTGCAACGACCTGCCATATGCTGAAGAAGTGCCTAAGGTAATTTCAAAACAACCCTGTACACCCAATGTGAAAGGAGGCATAAGTCAATGCGACAAGAAAACCCAAGAAGGTAGAGCTGTATATTTTCAGGGTGCATTTCTGTGAGCTGTTTTCACAATATATCATGTGACTACCACAGGTCCGGGTAGTCCTGTGGGTACCCAGGTCCGACTCAGGCCCCAACTAACCGGAGTACCTGAGCTACTTGTCTCAGCCCTAGTGTGTGCTATGTAATAATGATTGCAAAGCTCAGGATTAGATCTCTGCAAAGTTCTTGTCTAGGAATATCCAAAGAACCTGTGAGTGAGTGAGTGAGTGAGTATGGTTTTACGCCGCTTTTAGCAATATTCCAGCAATATCACGGCGGGGGACACCAGAAATGGGCTTCACACATTGTACCCATGTCGGGAATCGGACCCGGGTCGTCTGCGTGACGAGCGAACGCTTTAACCACTAGGCTACCCGACCTCCCCCCAAAGAACCTGTAAACACATGATAAAGGGGGTCTACTGCAGACTTACCTCCCCTGCTAGAGTTGCCTCAGCCAGGAACACAGACACAAAGTCAGCCTTGCTAATGCTGTCCATCTCACCGAACGGCTCCAGTATATGGCTCCTGTACACCACAAACAAATCAGGAAGTGTTAGTTGGGTAGTCACCATGGTTACAGTACATGGCTCCTGTACACCACAAACAAATCAGGAAGTGTTAGTTGGGTAGTCACCATGGTTACAGTACATGGCTCCTGTACACCACAAACAAATCAGGAAGTGTTAGTTGGGTATTCACCACGGTTCCAGCATACGTGTCGTATGTGAGACAGAACTGCACAGAACACATAATACATAACTATTACATGCAGAGCAACTTGTTTGTGCAGAGAGTGATGTGTGAGTAAGTGAGTTATTTGTTTGTGTATAGAGTGATATGTGAGTTATTATTGTGTATAGCATGATGTGTGAGTGAGTTATTTGTGTATAGCGTGATGTGTGAGTTATTTGTTTGTGTATAGTGCGATATGTGAGTGAGTGAGTTATTTGTTTGTGTTTTGCGTGATATGTGGGTGAGTGAGTTTTTTGTTTGTGTTTTGCATGATATGTGAGTTATTTGTTTGCATATACTGTGATGTGTGAGTTATTTGTTTGTGTATAGCGTGAGGTGTGAGTGAGTGAGTTATTTGTTTATGTATAGCCTGATGTGTGGGTGAGTGAGTTATTTGTTTGTGTATAGCCTGATGTGTGGGTGAGTGAGTTATTTGTTTGTGTATAGCCTGATGTGTGGGTGAGTGAGTTATTTGTTTGTGTATAGCCTGATGTGTGGGTGAGTGAGTTATTTGTTTGTGTATAGCCTGATGTGTGGGTGAGTGAGTTATTTGTTTGTGTATAGCCTGATGTGTGGGTGAGTGAGTTATTTGTTTGTGTATAACCTGATGTGTGGGTGAGTGAGTTATTTGTTTGTGTATAGCCTGATGTGTGGGTGAGTGAGTTATTTGTTTGTGTATAGCCTGATGTGTGGGTGAGTGAGTTAATTGTTTGTGTATAGCCTTATGTGTGGGTGAGTGAGTTATTTGTTTGTGTATAGCCTGATGTGTGGGTGAGTGAGTTATTTGTTTGTGTATAGCCTGATGTGTGGGTGAGTGAGTTATTTGTTTGTGTATAGCCTGATGTGTGGGTGAGTGAGTTATTTGTTTGTGTATAGCCTGATGTGTGGGTGAGTGAGTTATTTGTTTGTGTATAGCCTGATGTGTGGGTGAGTAAGTTATTTGTTTGTGTATAGCCTGATGTGTGGGTGAGTGAGTTTTTTGTTTGTGTATAGCCTGATGTGTGGGTGAGTTTTTTGTTTGTGTATAGCGTGATGTGTGGGTGAGTTATTTGTTTGTGTATAGCCTGATGTGTGGGTGAGTGAGTTATTTGTTTGTGTATAGCCTGATGTGTGGGTGAGTGAGTTATTTGTTTGTGTATAGCCTGATGTGTGGGTGAGTAAGTTATTTGTTTGTGTATAGCCTGATGTGTGGGTGAGTGAGTTTTTTGTTTGTGTATAGCCTGATGTGTGGGTGAGTTTTTTGTTTGTGTATAGCGTGATGTGTGGGTGAGTTATTTGTTTGTGTATAGCCTGATGTGTGGGTGAGTGAGTTATTTGTTTGCGTTTGGAGTGTGACTGGAGTGTGGTCAGCGAGTGACAAGCACAGATATGGTGCAGACAGGCCAAGGATCACAACGAGAACGAAACTCAGACTTGAACCCAGCAGATCCTGGCGGCACAGGGACATTGCTGCATCACCAGCAGGTGCCCCCTGACAGAGCACGTGTTTTGTGTGTCAGCAGCAAGTCATCTACTAGATGCCAGTCTGTATACATCGGCCCTAGCAATACCAGTGAGCCAATACATATTTACTGAATCAACAATTTCTATTCTTTCACCTCGGTGTGTCACGATAAATCGAAATATCGATATATTGCTATTGGTAAGCACTTAAGTCAATAAATCGATTGTTAAATCAGTTTCCGATCAATAGTAACGATTTTAGTTAGGAATATTGATAGTTTCAATTGTATTTACCATATCAATAAAATACATGCAATGCTGTTCAAATTTGTTTTTCTTTTGATCATGAGTGGTAGTAATTTACACATGGTAATGTTGAAGTTTCTTTTTCTTAAATTAGGGTAAAGAAAAAACAAATCGGTCATATCTCAAACTTTTTTACTTTTTATTTGTTGTTATGGTTATCAAATTCTAAGGAAACTTCAGTTCCAAGGTTTAATTCAACTCTAAAATCCATTTAAAATGATACCCTGAAAACTATCGATATTTATCGCAATAATTGCTTGCAATATCAATAGTTATTGCAATAGTGATTTCCAGACCAATGGACACCCCTACTTTCAACACTGATGGGCTGATGTCCACCTGATCTGACCAATTGAAGGGATCTGGACAGAGTCGTATCAACTGACAGCAAACATCTGATCTGGGTGCAGACATTTCAACTAATTCAATTCGTACAGTCATCCTGAAGTTGCCACAGAAGCAACCTACCTGATCTGCTCATTGGGCGACGCGAAAGTGAACTTGGAGAGTGGTTCTGTGATGTTGAGAAGATGGAATGCTCGACAGTCGGTAGCATTGTGCCACCATCGGTGTGAGAACCAGTAGTTAACAGCGACATTGCGATTCATGTCCCCTCCGCACGAGTTGATCTGATGGTACCACCTGCAATACAACCAACTCAGTGATGCCACACAGCAGCTGCAGAAATGAGAAGTTGTTAAACAATGACTCCCTACAACAGGTATAAAAAAGAATGGTCCCTACACTTGATTATCTCCCTTTGATTAAGGTTTGAATGATCAATGTTATTAACTGAAATTCCGAAATATACAACAGTCAGAATATCTGAGTGGGGCTATGGTCTTGTGAGGCAGAGAGATGCAGTCTTACTTGTAAGGTATATAGATGCAGTCTCCGGCCTCGAGGTGAGCGCGATGCCAGGGTACAGCCTTCAGTCTGGGGTACTGCTTCAAGTTGACACTATCAACGTCCACCGTGCTGTATGTCCCTTCCTGCACAAACCCATGCGCCTCCACATCAGATTGGTAGGCCTGTTGCAAAAGAAGTAAATTGTTGCTTTTACAAACTCGACACACAGGGAGTAAAGCTGATTTTTAGGATGGTGTTAAAAAACACAATCAGAAATCCTCCACTGACACTGTGGTTAACAATGAACACTGGCTTGGACATACCCGTGTTTGAAAGCAGAGTCCAACTAAGGAACGGGTTGTTTATTACTGGGAGAGAGAGGGGGATTGGCTTGGGACGCCCCAACCACCACCACAACCCAACCTGTATTATGCAACATTTTATCACACACAACACACAACCAATGCATGCAACATTTTTTCATGACCCTATCATAAATTACCAGTCTCTAAATAATATTCAAATTATGAAAAAAATATTTGAAAAAAAAATAGAATTGTGTCATACTGTCATGTCCCCTCCAAATAGTTGGGATAAATTTTGGTGACCTCAACCCTCCAATGTTTTGTTTCATTTTTTCCATTTGTTTCACCCTGGTTACCTGTTCACCCAGTACCTTCCCCACCCTGATCACCCAGTACCTACCCCACCCTGATCACCCAGTACCTACCCCATCCTGGTCACCCTGTACCTACCCCATCCTGATCACCCAGTACCTTCCCCATCCTGATCACCCAGTACCTTCCCCATCCTGGTCACCCTGTACCTACCCCATCCTGGTCAACCAGTACCTACCCCACCCTGATCACCCTGTACCTACCCCACCCTGGTCACCCAGTACCTACCCCACCCTGTTAACCCAGTACCTTCCCCACCTTGATCACCCAGTACCTTCCCCACCCTGATCACCAAGCACCTTCCCCACCCTGATCACCCAGTACCCTGCCCACCCTGATCACCCTGTACGTACCCCCACCCTGGTCACCCAGTACCTACCCCCACCCTGGTCACCCAGTACCTACCCCACCCTGTTAACCCAGTACCTACCCCACCCCGTTCACCAAGTACCTACCCCACCCTGGTCACCCAGTACCTACCCCACCCTGATCACCCAGTACCTACCCCACCCTGATCACCAAGCACCTACCCCACCCTGGTCATCAAGTACTCACCCTGGTCACCCAGTACCTACCCCCAACCTGGTCACCCAGTACCTACCCCACCCTGTTAACCCAGTACCTACCCCACCCCGTTCACCAAGTACCTACCCCACCCTGGTCACCCAGTACCTACCCCACCCTGATCACCCAGTACCTACCCCACCCTGGTCACCCAGTACCTACCCCACCCTGTTAACCCAGTACCTACCCCACCCCGTTCACCAAGTACCTACCCCACCCTGGTCACCCAGTACCTACCCCACCCTGATCACCCAGTACCTACCCCACCCTGATCACCCAGTACCTACCCCACCCTGGTCACCCAGTACCTACCCCACCCCGTTCACCAAGTACCTACCCCACCCTGGTCATCAAGTACTCACCCTGGTCACCCAGTACCTACCCCGCCCTGGTCACCCAGTACCTACCCCACCCTGATCCCTCAGTACCTACCCCACCCAGATCACCCAGTACCTACCCCATCCTGGTCACCCAGTACCCATCCCACCCTGTTAACCCAGTACCTACCCCACCCCGTTCACCAAGCACCTACCCCACCCCGTTCACCCAGTACCTTCCCCACCCTGATCACCCAGTACCTTCCCCACCCTGATCACCCAGTACCTACCCCGCCCTGGTCACCCAGTACCTACCCCATCCTGGTCACCCTGTACCTACCCCACCCTGATCACCCAGTACCTACCCAACCCTGATCACCCAGTACCTACCCCATCCTGGTCACCCAGTACCCATCCCATCCTGTTAACCCAGTACCTATCCCACCCTGGCCACCCAGCACCTACCCCACCGTGGTCACCCGGTACCTAGCCCACCCTGATCACCCAGTAACCACTCCACCCAGCCATTCTAAGTTCTGCTCAGAGAGAAGATTCATGTGATCCTGCCTTGGTCAGAGTCATGGCCTATGTAAACAACCACATCCAGACAATACCAAGTCACAACATTCTACATCATCACTGCAGAACACATGCCTCCTCCGTACACCACTACCCCGGTGCACCACACACCTTATCAATGAGGATGACATCCTTGGTTCCGCTGAGCACACACAGCAGATTGTCCAGCTTGTCACTGTGCAGCACGGACTTGGTACCCCCGCTGCTCATCCACAGAACGGCATCATGCAGCAAATGCTGGGTTCCCCCACACTGGAGAGTGATGGGAAGGTGGACATCGTCTGTAACCATGGTAACAAAAGCATACAAAAGCTGCAAACCATCCATCATTTCTGTAAGGGACATACCTAAGCTGATGTCTTATTGTTTCAAAGATTTCCAGCTACTATTTTAAGCTGCATCACTTAATAAACAGGGGGTATGAGTAGTTTGCCCGTCACACATCATGATATTCTTGTGGAGAGGTTCTTTTATTAGTATCACTGTTGCAGTTTAAGTCTTGTCGGTTATGAATTGATTTTAACAGTTGATAGATAGATTCAAGGTTCAATCACAAAAAAACATACTCATATAAATATACTTTTTCTGCAAAGTTTGATCTCAATAATTCACTTATTTTTTAAATAACCCCACCGTCTCATTCTGCTCAATAAGCATAACTGAAAAAATATGGCTGACAGGTATCAGATAATGAAAACAACTGTTTGTGTAACAAAACGGTGTCGGCACTCCAGAGCGACATTTCAGTTTTTAGACTGAACGCGAGAGCGACATGCGGTAATGCTTTGATGTTTTAATCTATTTACGTGAAGGATAAGTATGTTTAAACATAGGATTAGTATGTTCACCATGACCACATCTCAGTAATTAATTATGATTTAGTAATCATACTAATCATAGTAGTATGTTCAATCAGTGTCAATCTTAATTAATTAAGTGATCGTTATTACGGTGATTTTGATCAATTGATTTAGCGATATTCAGATAACAGATATAAATAAAGAAGAAGTTGAATGTGAAGTTACTTGCAAAATGGCAAACGCTCAAGTTGACATCAAATTCCCCATCCCCTCATGGAGGTAGGATTCTTCGATTTCAAAGGTTTATGTTCTGATGCAATAAGAGAGACACATGGCAGTCTTGGCAGTGTCTTGAAAAGACATGTCCTGTACGTGTTTCGACTAAAGATGACCAAGTCACCAATATTAACCGGGAACACAACCCTGACCCCAAACCTGTATTTTTTTCCTATTCCTAATTCCTATTTATAAATTCAAAGTTATAGTATAATAATAGTCCATTAAATACCTATATTCTTAGTATGAGAGTATTATTTTGTTTTCTTTCTTAAGACAATTTATTAAGACAATTTATGTATTATTTCAGGTGAAAGAGACAATCGAGAAGGTAAATAAATGTCAAAAGAGACCACAACATCCTTGCCAAGGCCCATCCCCAATTGTTTCAGTTTCTTGCCTTCCTAAAGAAGGAGCAGCTCAACAATGAGTGTTGATGGTGCAGCATGAAGCTGGAGGAAAGCGACCCACAAAGAGGAGGAGATATACCAACATCCACAACCGACTTCAGACTCTTAGAGCGATGGATGGTGCCATATCCAGAATGGAGTATGCCGACCATTGCAGTGAATTGCTTCACTTGGAGTAATGTAAAATGACATATTGTTGATGGTTGTTTTGTGAGTAAAATGAGTGTGGACAAAACATTTTACTATCTTATTTTATTATTAAAAGAAGAAAGATATCTTATTTTTGTGTCATATTTGATGGTGATGTGAAATATGATATGGATTACTGTGTTGTTTTAAAACCCTTAATGTGTTTTCATTTGGATTAGGCATGGGGGCTTAAAGGCATTGTGCACTAAATCCGACCTTAACTGGTTTGTTAGCAAATCTAACGCGAGAGCGACATACAAGTTGAGTCAAATTAAGCTATTTTCATCCCAATGTCACTCTGGTGTGCATAAACCAACAAAACATGAAAACTGCTAAATAAATTAGGACAATGTCCAGGGCTGCAACTCGGCACTAGCCTGAGTTAGTTTTTCAAATTTAGTAGAATGTCAGGCTATTTCGGGGTGTCCTTATACATTATCACTATTCAGCTTTCAAAATGTTTCAGTTCAGTTGCATCCCAGATTTGTAAGTACAAATTTGTGCTAGTCTGCTGTCCTGAGACAACTAAATTGTGCAGAAGACAATAACAAATCCAATGATAGTAGTCCTCATTGACTTATAGCACTTGAGGCCTAGATTGTGAACCAGTTCTCAATGTCTTAATATTGCTGCAAATTGGAACTGAATAAAATGGACGAAAATGTAAACACAGTAAACATTTCTCTCTCATTCAAGTAGGACTAGCTACAAACACGGAGGACAACAGAGGACAACAGACCTAAGGTTTCCACTAGTCCTCTAGACTGGGCTCTTCTTCCCACAGCAAGGGTGTTAACTGACTATAAAACTTTCCAACTTTGCCAAACAAGGCTGGAATTTCCAGGCACGATCGTAGCGCCACCAGTGGCTATTATGAGTCATGTCTTTTCTATGTTCCTCCTACTGACCAATCATATTTCATCTCTCATATCATTTGCATTTGCTTCAAACAAAATGACGGTACCCAGTCAAGACCATCTGATTGATAATCAAGATCTATATTGTTATAAAATGGGTCTACCCCACGAAGTGCATTAAATCACTTGAGCACCTTGATTAAAAACATGAAAAGAATCGCAAAAAAGCCCATTTGACAGTACACATGCGTTGCAAATCCTGCAGTCAACAAACATCTGCAATTGAAATCCATGTTTTTTATGAACCAGGTATCTAGTTTGTTACTCGATTTTGATTTGACTATGCATACACATGTTAGTCCAGCCAAAATGTAACTCCGGAATTCCAGCCTAGTTCAGCAAGCATCGAAACTGGACATTTATAGTCAGTTAATGCCCTTACCTCAGGAAGATGGACTAGCTTTTGGTTTGGTTTCGGGCAGCACTCAGCAATATTCTAGCTAAATGATGGTTGTCTGTAAATAATCAAGTCTGGACCACACAATCCAGTGATTAATATCATGAGCATCGATCCACGCAATTGGGATTGATGACATGAATCAACCAAATCAGCGAACCTGACAACCCAATCCAGTAAGTCACCGCTTACGACAAGCATAGTCGCCTTTTAAGGCAAGCATGGGTTGCTGAAGACCTATTCCAGACTTAAAACAGACAAATTCTAAGGCTGGGAGGACCTTTCATGCTGCTGGGAAGTGACTGAACCATGTAGACATTTTTCTTCTGATAGAGGTCAAGGAACTCATGGAGGGTCATTGTAGATGGGCGCAGATTCCTCTTTTCCTTTTTAGACTGTTCCACTGACACCACCTCACTCCCGTATTCCTCCCTGAAACATGTACAGACACGGATATGGTAAAACATGCATGTAAACCACTCCCAGTGTTTGATGAGGTTTGCCATAATTAAATCTAGGGATCACCTTCACATTTTTATCATTGGGATTATAGGGACCCCTTGACTTAATTCCAAACACTGAACACCCATGTTTGCTTACCATGATATGGACAAGCGTGGATGTCAACATATCACTGCACTCCCACACTCCTAGTACATGTAGTATGATGTAGCAACATTTAGAGATAAAGTTTCAATCTAAAATGAACTTTCATCATGTTAATTCATTCTACCAGAGATTTATCAAGACCTGTTCAGATGCCAACATTTTGCCCTACATCTGCAGCAAAAGTCAGAAAACATTCCCAAATTAAAATTTATATTTTCCAATTCATGGTTAACATGTCAGTTCAATCTATCAACCATGACAGTGTCATTGACAGCTATTATGACAGTGCTGGTTGTCACCTTGACCCATAAGCAGATAAGCTGCATGGACTCCATATAATACTCAGTCAATGCTATCTCACCATGATCGAGGTAAGCAGTTGTAATATTGCGGAGTGCAGCGTACAACAACAAATCAACTTCGGAAAGTTTTCCTTTTCATGAAAACTGATACACTTTTCAATTTTTGAATTTTTTAATCGTAGTGTACATTAAGAGTCTTCAGTGTTCATTTCCCATGTGATTGGCCTGTTTACTTTTACAAAAGTACGTTCTGCATAGGCTTCATAACAATAAACATATAAGCAAAATTCAGGCATAAAATATATATAATTTCTAAGGTGCCTCATATAACAAATTTTGAACCCCACTATAATTGCAATAATAAGTTAATGTAACGTTAAGGTCATTGCGATAAATTTTGCAAAACATGCTACATTAATAACATTGCCACAACACGTAGATCTGCACTAAATTACCAGTGTTTACTGATCTCTAAGGGCCAAATTGTTCGCCAAGGAAGAATTGTGACATTGACAGAATTAAATGATATTCCCCATCATAACGCCAAATTATCTAAGCCCTATTCACTTAGTTTTTCAACCTTTTCTTACCTAAGAAAATCATCTGTCCATTTTTCAAATGCTGGGAAAGGAGTGTCCAGGAGGGGTGACTTCATTAACAGTGGTTGACTTTCCTTCACAAAATTTTCATAAAACACACCTGGTGAAGAGAATTTGCCTATGAATGTCACGCCAAGAGGAGGTGCATGAGAGCCTAAAGGCTGCTGGTGACCTTTGAGGGTCTCTCCTGCAGCAAACTTCAGTATAAAAACAAAGTAGAGGGGACACATTATCAGAATCCGAATTGTAACGTACACCACTGTTGTTTATCAGTATCTCGGTATTAACGGGTGGTTACATCAGTGTCACTATACGTAAAACGATAGAATACTTGGTTACTGCAGTATCTGTGTGTCGTGGTATTATTCACACCATCTCATCGTGATGCATCTCCGTCAAATCGAAATCCACGGAATGATTCCTTGCATGTTCGAACACAAATATTTGTATTGAATTAAAAAGAACTCAAAAGCATTTAGATCAGTCGATGAGTGAAGAAGCAGCCGCAGTTAGTGCTTACTGCTGCACAAGAGAAATATATCCGCTTTCAGAAACAACTAAGAGTGCATCAAGCACTCATTCATGGGGGCCGCCATTTTCAAAGTGGTGCATCATGGTATAGCGGCGTCACGTGATATGTCCCCGGTAACATCGACATGTGCAGTAACAAAGTTGATTAAAGGTGACTTTAGGTTTGAAATTCTGCTTGATAGAGTTTGACAACTTATTTTGTTCAACAAATACACATTCAGTTTATATTGCAGCCCAGTTCAACGTTTTAACAGCTTACCAGCCTCTTTTTCAGACTAGGGATGTCAGCCATTTTGTACACATAGCATTGTGTGAGTTTCACAGTGAGGGAACCTTGACAGATTGGTCAAATTTATATTTCTCAATGAGAGAGAATTTTCTTTTGCAAATTGAAGTATGTGCAACCACAGACTTTTTCCAAGAAAAAACTCCACACTGAAGTGTAAGTAAAGCAACAAAATTGTAGGAAATATTAGTCATATTTCCTAACCAAGAATAATCTCAGTGTGACCTGACCTTCATGGTAAATGTGATTTCTCAAGTGCTAAAGTGTAATTGTTGTCATTTTTGTTTCAACTAAGTGTTCTGTTTAACTACATTTAAGTGCGGCTTATACATGACACAATGTATTTGTGTCATTGTGAATGATACCAGAGAGTAACTATCGGTGTATGGTCTCTGATACATTTCCTCGAAAAGCTATTATAGTATTGCTTCATCAATTGTATTTCAGAACAGCAACATTGGGGAGAAATTAACGTGGAACGTTATAACAAATTAGTTGGCCTTAACTTAGAAAAGTCATCCCCTAATGGTCAATAAGTATTCTTTTCTGACTTGCATCTGAGGACAACTTTTCGTTTAAGAGTTCTACATTAAACATGTTTAGATGGTGTGAAGAGTTCAGCAACGAGGAAAGAGTGAACAAACAATAGCTTCAACTGTGTGTAACTGTTTATCAGTATCGATAACATCATACCCACAGTTAGCCTCTTGTCGTAAGTAAACATGTCTGTAGCATTAGGATCAAGGTCAGGAAAATGCCCTGACGAAAATATCAAATTTGTTAGATCACTCAAAATGTTTTTTTCATTTCAAGAAAAAGATAAATGTTCAATTTATTATGTAAATTCCAACTGTCAGCTAAAAACCATAGTGTCTGACTGTCAGTGAAATAACAATTTTATTTAGTATGAGATTTGTTGATGATAGTTGTTTCAAATAAACTTGTCAAATTAACGCACATGAATATTGTATGACTGATCGAAAAATTCTTTACATTCTGTAGGAACGATCTCATGTAGTAGATCAATAGCCTTCGTCCCCAAATATCAAGTGTATTAAATCGCCAATCTATTATAATATATACCCTGGAGCACAATCGCCATCACACCTATAATTTGTGCCCGTTCAAGTGACACAACCCTACAAATAGAAGTCCAATCAAATTGCACTCTTATTTCCATCTGAAATACAACCAGAACGTCTTGTATCATTAGGACACCTCACTCCTGTCCAAGTACTCAGTGATTCATCTTTTCCAGCTACAAATGACTGTTTCCTGATAGGTCCAGGTCATTATTTCTTTAGAAAAATGATATTTTTAAAGTTCTTATTTTCTAAATTTAGGAGATGTTTTACGTTGCGTTCAATGCAGTAATGTACTATTAAGCACTCAAGCCTCTTCTTTTTTTATTGGTTCTGTTCATCTGTGAAAAACAAGTTTCCTCTGCAAAGCCGTAACAGTGTTCCCGTTTACCAGTAGTTACCATTTTTTACTGGTAAAATTAGGCTTGGACCGGTAATTCAGGTGACTGCCAGTACCTTATGATTCTTTGTTGTTGAACAAAACATTGGCGATATTCATATAGGTACATTTTTCGAACTTTGGTCAGCTTGTCTTTTAACATCAGGGTTTTACCTTGTTTATTTTTATTGCAAGGAAATAACATTTTGCTTTGAGGTTAAATATCCATTTGTAGTGACTTCGTCTCGAAATATTAAAAAAAAAGGACAAAATTGTGACTGAAGTTACTGTGAATGATGTATAGATCTAATTAACTTACTTCAGAGATGATGTTTTTGCACTGAACATGATGTTGAAAGAATTAAAACCAGGTAATTTTCATACATTTTTTTATTTGTTGAAAGTTGGGACTGGCAAAAATTAGGGTGGGACTGGTAATTATTAGAGCTGCCAGGCCACAAGAACTGGAAGTTTCAAAATCCAGCGGGAACAATGGCCGTAACATGTATTCTAATGCGACAGTTTAGAAACTGTAGTATTAATAAAGACATAGTTGACATACTATAGGGATTTCCATTTCTTTTTTCAATGCAACGTTTCAGTGCAGATGCTACATCATACCTTTGGCACCAATCTCAATTACTGATACTCAGCTTAACACAATGTCCATCTGGTCTTTCTTTTGTCATGATCAATACCATATGTTTTATGCCATATTGAATGAGAAGATACGCTGTTTTATGCCATATTGAATGAGAAGATCTGCTGTTTTATATCATTCTGAATGAGAAGATACGCTGTTTTATATAATATTGAATGAGAAGATATGCTGTTTTGTATCATTCTGAATGAGAAGATACGCTGTTTTATATAATATTGAATGAGAAGATATGTTGTTTTGTATCATTCTGAATGAGAAGATATGCTGTTTTATATCATATTAAATGAGAAGATGTGCTGTTTTATATCATATTGAATGAGGGTTATACGTTTTAATATCATATTGAATGAATGAGAAGATACACTGTTTTATATCATTGAATGAGAAGATGAGCTGTTATATATCATGTAAAATAAGGGATATGCAATTTAATACCTTATTGAATGAAGACATATACTGTTCTGTGTATGTTATTATTCCTTGGTACTGGAACACTATTTGAGTAGATAAATGAGATGGCAAGGTAGCCATCTTGTAGCAGGACAGTAGTTGTTACAAGGATGACACATGGCCGGTTTCTCTGTTGTCCCTGCGTACATACGGCCAATAAACAGTGTAGATGCTATGTTTTGCTAACAGATCACGCCATGGCCTGGTTTCAGTGAGAGGGGAATCAATTCATGCTAGCTAGATTGTCTAATGTTACAGGTATCCTGTGGCCTAATGTTACAGGTATCATGTGGCCTAATGTTACAGGTATCATGTGGCCTAATGTTACAGGGATCCTGAGGCCTTATGTTACAGGGATCCTGAGGCCTTATGTTACAGGGATCCTGAGGCCTTATGTTACAGGGATCCTGTGGCTGGGCTACTAGAAGTAAGGGCTCATGATGAGTGTTCTTATTTGTTATCACTATTCAGACTAGTTTCAGATTAATGTCTACTGCTTTCTGTTTGTGAGTTTCACGAAAGCTGTGAACCTGCATCACCATAAGGTTTCCTCATACATGCCGTAGTCTGGGCTCATGCGAAAATATGCATGGCCAGAGAGACAGACAAGTATGTGATGCCTGTCTGATTATGTGAGGACTTTGTCATCCAAGCATTAGCACATTTATATGCAGTTTGTGCAAGTGCTGGTTGCTACAGTAGCGTAAGACATGCTTGATAACAGTGTTAGAACCTACACCGAAACGTCACTCTTAAATGTAATAAAGAAGTTGTTCATCCATTAATCCTATCCTTACTTGGACCATGTTCGTTTAACAAGTGCATATATATAGACCATACATCTACCCAGTAATTCTGGGCAATCTATGTTAATCAGTAATGAATTAGATATTTGATTTTCATAACCTTGCCTAACTACCAAACACCATTTCATTGTTCCAAAGTTTCTACAGATTGCGATAAATAAAATATGAATATATGATACATCCCACCTCACATTTTTTACAAATATGGATAAAAATCAAATAATTAAATCATTGTGGCTTTGCACTATTCAAGTACATGTATTCAGTTTCCAAGGTCAACACTTCTGGTTAATTTTAACATGAAACTGCTCGTTACAACTTCCAAACTGAGTCAAATCATGGCCAGTGCAGTAGCTATGTTATGCTCAATTACTCACTACATGTATACATAATATACTCTTTGGTTGATCACAGTTTGATTACTTTTGTTGTTATTTGAAACTTGACCTATTAATAGTTCAGATTGTGCTACGGTTAGGCAGATATCCAGTTGAACAAGCCTTATGCATAGATTTACGTTTCAGATGTTATGACCTTGACCTTGGGAACTGTTTGTTTCCTCCATATTGATCTTGGATGGTGTGGAGTTCCCTCCCTTTGACCATGTTTACTTCTGCCTGCTTTTTTATCATGAGCAAATAGCAAGGCATTTGTTTCTGAAGATGATCACTACACTGGTCCTGTATGTATACCCTTCTGTAGATTCATCAATGTATAGGTCACTACGTATTGGGACTCTGAAGTGATTTGTGTGAGAAAATGCGAAACACAAATCCATTGATGTTTAGTGCTTACTTGAGGCGATTAGCTCAACACCAAAGTTTCCGACTGATTTCAATATGTCCCATTTCCTGTGACAGAGATTAACCTCATCCTTGTTAATCAGAAACTGGGAGTCATGTTTCTAAGAGTCTATGATTCAGTGCAACCTTGGGGAGGGGGAGGGGACAGTTGGGTAGCCTAGTGGTTAAAGCATTCGCCCATCACGCTGAAGACCCGGGTTTGATTGGGTACAATGTGTGAAGCCCATTTCTGGTGTCCCCCACGGTGATATTGCTGGAATATTGCTAAAACCGGCGGAAAACCTCTCACTCACTCACTCACTCACTCACTCACTCACTCACTCACTCACTCACTCACTCACTCACTCACTCACTCACTCACTCCTGGTAATCTGGTGGTCCTTAGCGGTTTTTAGTTGTATAATAAAGCTTTCATTGCATGACAGATTAACTGTGTTAATATGGAAGAATTGGGTGGTCATTAATGTTTTTTAGTTGTACAATACAGGCCATCATAATATTGATTTGAAAGTTCTGATTTAGATGTTAAGCAGTCTCTCAATTACACCATCTTTATGTTGTCATACTCCTGTTACAAGGATTAATGTCAGTGGGTTAGTAGCGTGGTATGGAGGAAATGAGATCAGACTGTAGTCTCCCCGTGGAGATATTTGGTTAGGATCGGTCACAAGCTACCTATGCTGGTCCTACTTTAAAGAGGCGACCAAATGGATCTGATGGAAGGCTTGGTACCTGGTTGATGGGGTGACATTACACCAGGGCTATATCTGGACCTGCTCAAAGGCCAATATTCAGCCCCAAGTCCACAGCAAATGACAATTTGTATTCCCAATTTAAATTTTTAGATTCCTATTTCCTCATGATTTACAAAATTATAAGCCCGAAAAAAAATCCTATTTTGAACAATATCATCTTTTTTTTTCAATTTGCCTGCCAAGGGCACTTAGTTCGGAATCCTAGGTAAATCTCTGCATACCCCGACAACGTGGATCATTGCTCCCAATATCATTGACTGGATTGTCTGGTGCAGGCACGGTTATTTACAGTCCAGGTCTGGTCAAGTGATGGTGTGTGGAGATTATCAGTATTTCCGATGACTTTTTTAAATGCCAGTTTATACAGCAAAAGACACACAAAAAACTACCAGTTCTGGCAACTTTTCTTAACTCTTTATTTCCAAATACTACTTGGTACTGGAGAAACATTAAACAAATGCCTAGAGACTTCAGTCTTGTTAGCAATTCTGACGTTCTATCTTTCTATGCTTTTGAAATCAAAGAAAGATGTGGCATCTTCGCTGATGTCAGCCCCCAGTCCATGCTGTTTGACGAGTCACAGAGAACACTGGATATAATGAACAAAGCGTAGTAGTTGGGTCCGGAGCATGTCATCATGTCACATAACTTGGATGAAATACTTGAACATCCTCATTTGTCCTCTCTATAAAAACTGGATAAATACCCTGAGCCCTGAGTTGTTTGTTAGGCATTAAATAGAGATAATTCATGAATAACAAGTTCTGTACTTATTGTAAAGGAGACGTTTCAGTATAGGTCCTTACACCATTGTCAAGCCTTGCCGAAACGTCACCTATACAGTAAATAAAGAAATTGTTATCCATAAATTATCTCTACTTTAGTACCCTGGGCCCTGTTCCACAAAGCGATCTTAGCGCTAAGGTGATCGTAACTCCCATACTTTAACATAGGCTTACAACAGTCGTAGCACTAAGATTGCTTTGTGGACGGGGCCCTGGACTCATTTGCTACCATAGCTTGCTTTGAGTTTGTTTCCAATTACAATATTTCACTCCTGCGTGTACTAAGAGTGATGGAGATGGAGATGTCACTTCCGAAACAAGTCCAATGGGTCCAGGGCATGTATCACAACCAAATAGTGGTGTAAGACTCCAGTCTTCATGTCACTATAGGATGTATAGTTTCTTCAAATGATGCTTAACGACAATACATAATGTGATGAAACAAGCACCTGCAGTGAAGTACGTGCATGATAGAACCTCACAAGGAGGAAGTGCTGGCTGGTTATAGCATCACCTGTTGATGGAGGCTAGTTTGAAAAGGACAAGGCAGTCAAAGTAGGTTGATTCATGACTGGAAGCTTCAGTTTTATCTGCAGCAAATACCTACCAACATTGTTACACGTAGACCAGGTCACAATTTCTCGTTAATTACAACAATGATTGTGAATGTGCACCATAGAACTTAGTCCCCCTGTAATGAGTATTTACAAACTGTCTATATATACCTGAAATATTGCTGACTGTGAACCAGCAAACACATTTCATTGCTGTGATACATGTGCAATATCCAGACTGAGAACCCTGGTCAGAAAAATGTAAATGAATGGATTTTCAGTAACAAATTATTTGAATTTATTAGTCATGATAAGAAATACATGTTAGGAAATCATGTAGCTTGGCTTGACAGGATGACTGCCACTTCAGACAATACATCAACAATACATGTAAAAACAGGTTGAATTATTGGATCTGAATTTGCAGAATAGAAAAGCATTGAATATGTGTCTGTGTCATGGTGATGTGTAAGATAGCGACATAAGCATGACTAGTTCTCAGTTTGATTTAATGCTGAACAGCATAATGGAAAACAGTTTAATTTGACCTGGGTCTGCTTGTCAGAAATATGTAAGAATTTACAGTTTGTTTTGACTAGTTTATTCCATCTTGTGTGGTTGAGACTGCTAGTTATGTGGCCACAGCCTGTAGTGGATGGGTGAGTTGAGCTGTCGGGATCTAGGTCAGCGAGGACAGCTGAACTCCATGATAGGAGTAGGCAGCTTGCTGCTCATTATGTGGGTCATGCAGGAAGTGACCTCTGACCTCCATGTTCTGCATGTGTGTGAGAAGATTGCAGTTGCATTGTAAGCAACAACAGACTAATGCTAGTTGCTTTTGTGGGCTGTTGCAATATGACAACTGGGTAATATGAGTTTGTATTCCTCAGAAGATGTTTGATATTGATTTGTGCAACCGAGGGTTGTCAGCCATGTTTGAGACTATCTCCCATTAGGGTGGTATTATCTGAAGCTAGATTCCATGTGGGCTGGTAAAGGCCCTCATGTAGATTTGTTTTAGTACAGTACACTGTAAGATAAGGTTGTAATGTAAACTGGAAACGTCTTCCCTCTTCATGGCTCCCTTTCTTTGATGTCTCTGTCACATTTTGCCTACATAATGTCAGCTACAGAGGTAACAGTACTCAATGAAACCGTACCTCTATGTGGCATTTTGGAAGCTGTAGACTATGAAGAGAGAGTAGTCTTATGGATTATCTCTTCTTTTTCTTTCAATGCAACGTACTGACGCTAGTATACCTTTTGTACCAAAACATCATATTGAAAGAATTATGAAGTTGAATTCCGAAAGTTGATATTGTCTTCAGTGAAGCCTTGGTAACATCAATCTCCAATACCTTATACTCAGCTTGCGACAATGTCAATCTAGTATTTCTCATGTTATTATCTATACCATATTGAACAAGGCCTTAAGATGTTTTATGCCATATTGAATAAGATATTTTGCTTTATATCATATTGAACGAGGGATATGGTGTTTTATATTGAGGTGGATTGTTGATGTGCTGTTTTATGTCATATTGCATGAAAAAATATGCTGTTCTATACAACATTGAATTATGGATACGATGTTTTATACCATATTGAATTATAGTGGTGGGACGATACACCGATGCATTGGTGGATTACGATCTTTTACTTCCCGATACAAGTATCGATCACACTCACACACTAAGTAAAAAACATCAGTTCATACCTAAAAGGTTCACTTTAATGGCTGTTACACCAAACGTTAATTAGTAGTGAAAATTAGTAGTGAAAAAGGAAATAATTTCATCCACTGCGCCATACTTGACAGTGCTATCTGTAAATAGTCAGTGTGCCAGGTATTTGACTATCATGGCCTGTCTATGAAAAAAAATGACTTACGCACCAAGATAAGAGCACATACATGCATCTTGATACGTATCGGATCGTAAACAAGGTATCGTGATACATATCGGATTGTAAACAAGGTATCGTGATACATACCGGTATCGGATTGCACAGTTAGTGTATCGTCCCAGCCCTATTGAGTTAGGAAAATGATGTTTTATACCACAGTGAATTAGGGATATGATGTTTTATACAATATTGAATTATGATATGCTGTTTTGCTGTCTTCTGAAAAACAATCTATCTATCTATCTGATTAGCCAGTTGCCATCTTGTAAAAACCCGTACAGGTTGGCTACAGATTCCTTTACATCATAATGTTCGAACTCACATCACTTGTTTGTCTCGTCACATTCAACTCAGGTCACACTTTGAGTTATATGTACCATACTAATAGTCTGATTACAAATGGATGGAATTGTCAAACACTCAAATAATTTGTTACTGAAAATATGTCTTTGTAGCTTGTGAACTGATAAATTTGTTTGTGTACCCCCTGGCCTTATGTATTATTGCACAAGCCCAGTCAGGTCGTAAGATCCTGTATGAATCCACAAGTTCAGTGAGTTTTTGTTGCTTCCATAGTATGTCTTGGAGTCTATCAGCAGACGCTGAATATGATATTGTAAGGTCTGAATAGTCAGTTGTAATCAAACATAATGACATCACAGCTCTAGAAACTAACTGTTTTCGTCTACTAGTCCATATGATAATAACGTATAGCAAAACCATTAAAAATGGCAAATTTCTAATAGTCCTTACCTCACCTGTTTGGCAAGGACCATAGGATTTTTGTCAATTTCTAACCTGGTGTCATGCTGTTCATGATGGCCAGTCATCTTGTATCAGTTTTGAGAAGGCAGCAACCAGTCTGATATCTGGATTTTATTATGAATAATGATTGTTGACAGTCCATGGGTGGTAATAGTTGTGACTTATTTTGCAGATGACGATGATGAACTAGAATGATGAATGGTGAAGCTGGGTCCTTGGGTCACTCTGGGGCCAGCCAGGCACAACACAGCTGTGCTCTCCCCTCTCCTACAGATGGCAGCACCGCAGATGTTAATAGGTGTACAAAGGAGGACAGACCAGATCAGCTTATGTTCAAACAGTGCCAGGAATCTGTGAACAGTGTTGTAAAACATGATGGAGCTGTGTTCACTGGACCGTCTCCTCCCTTGATCTGTAATGGTGGTACTCGGTGTCAAGATCACAGTGATGCAAAGTCTCCTGACAAAAGGGTACGACAGCTTTCTGCTGTCTGTAGAAGCCATGATGTGGTAGAGGATGGTGTAAATCCATCAGGTAAAGATGAAAAGCAGTCAAGGGAAGTTGTACAGAAAGTAGCTTCAGATGACACTGGCGGTACGACACATGTATCGGTTAAGGGTCAGAAAACATTTGTCAAACGCGAAAGTGAAAAAGACACAATAGACTCAAACCAGACTGTCTGTGAGTCTCTGACTCTTCCAGAAGGCAGGAGTGAAACATTATTAAATGTAACTGATAAAAGTACGGAAATGGATGTGATTAACAATCGAAGTAAGATTGAGTCTGAAGACACACCAATGGAGGTTGATAGAGAAAATGTAGAACTAGAAGGTGAAACAGTGTCAAGTATTGGCAGTTCACAAGACCCGGAGGACACAAGCTGGAGTGGAATGGCAGACCAAGAGAGTGGGCCTGACAGTGATGCAGAACTAAGAATTGAGATCAGTGATGTCCGGACTGTCAACTTTGATGAGGAAGTTGATCTAGATTCAAGTGATCCCCTCGCAATAATTGATCTTGAAAACTCCGGAGGCCTGTCCAGGGGTAACAACTCCCAAGAAGATTTCACCAGCCCCATCACAGGAGACGCATCACAAGCTTTTGAAGAGGAAGGGGATTCTTCACCACAGAATGGTGGCAATATGGAAGATGGTGAACGTCAAGCCAGCCCACATGGCCCCACGGCAGGAGAAGCATCACAAGTTAATCAAGAGGAAGGGGATTCTCCACTACAGAATGGTGGCAATATGGAAGATGGTGAACGTCAAGCCAGCCCACATGGCCCCACGGCAGGAGAAGCATCACAAGTTAATCCAGAGGAAGGGGACTCTTCACAACAGAATGGTGGCAATATGGAAGATGGTGAACGTCAAGCCAGCCCACATAGCTCCATGGTAGAAGAAGCATCACAAGTTAATCCAGAGGAAGAAGACTCTTCACCGAAGCATGATGGAAATATGGAAGACGGTGAAGATCAAGCCAGCCCACATGGCCCCACAGCGGGAGTGAATGATAGATACACACTCTGTGAGAGTTCAGAGAATGGTCATGAGGAGAGGCCTAATTTGACAGAGAGAACTGAGGGAGACTCGTTAGTCACCAAGAACCAGAATGGTGAGAGCCCCAGCACTGAGACCCAGACCAAAGAAGCTGATATCCTGCATGATCTATACCAACAAACGTCCTCTCTACATGACCCAGAGCTGAACACACTGAAAACATCAGATGCTGGGAAAGAAGCAGATACGGAGTCGGCAGCAACAACAACTCAAGCAAGTACTCTTCTTTCCAACATCGCTGAAACAGTTCAGAAGATAAAATCCGAGCCACAGGACCAGGGGTATGAAGATGCTCAGACTTCTGTTCAAGAAGCCCGGGTTGGCAGCTGCAGCAAGACACAGGATATGACGGAGCGGTTCCGTCTGCCAGAGAGTATGTGTAGGACAGAACCAAGTACTGTATCTCATACCGTCATAACACAGCCAGCATCCCTGATCACCACGCTGCCATCTCCGAAAGTCCTGCCTTATATGGCCATGAAGACCATGGTTACTCCGACACTGCCAAGTCGCGTGATCAGCACCACATCTGTGGCACCCATGTCACAGGCCCTTGTTGCCAAGGGGATGGAAGGAGCTCAGACCAAAACTGTGGCATTACTAGTTCCCTTTAGAACACAGGGCAATGACAGGGGTCCCATGTTTGCTTCACTTCCCACTGTCTCAAGCAAAGATACAAGTTCCGCCACTGCCCATTCGGAGATTGCAACAAGTGTGACAGTCAGTGTTGCATCTTTGGAGCCTGTCATGTCAACAAATACTCTTGTGTCAAAAAGTGAGGAAGAAGTAGAAAGTTTTGAAAAGCTTGTTTATGATAAGTGCATGCAGCATGAAGTGAAGTCTATTGACTTGGGAAAAGTGTCAGAATTTCTTCAGCGGAGAAATACCATGAAGTGTTATAAGGGGTCAAAACACCCTTCATTCGCGGACAAGAAACAACAGGGTTGTCTCGAGTGTGGCGACAGCTACGTACTGAAGACAAGTCTGGATCATCACATGACGCGCTGCAGCATTGTAATCAAGTACCACTGTGACAAATGCAAAGGAGATTTTAAGTTTACGAATAAATGTCAGCTCTTGACTCATCTGAGACTGCATGTTGATGCATCAAGTACATCTAAGGTTCCCCCACCACTGAAAATAAACTCTGACAACTTATCTATTGTGACCCCGTCTGAAGAGGATCTTCAAAAGGCAACAGATAAGTTTAATGTTCCACCAAAGGACCCTGACAAAGTTATGGTCCGCTGTTTGGAATGCAGGCAGGTTTTTGCAAATGAAAAAATCCTCAAGATCCATTTTGGTGCTAATGAATTAGTTTGCTCCTTTGCCTTCCAGTGTCTTGTTTGTTCCAAAATCCTGCCGAGACTGTGTGCCTTGAATGCCCACATGAAGATCCACTCAAACATGTCAGATTATGTCTGTCCGGAATGTGGCAAGCCTTTTACAAACAAGAGTATGTCGTTTGTGAGGCATCTTAATGATGAATGCTACCACCAAAACAGAATCTTCCTTCTTCAATGCCCAGTGTGCAACATCCATCTGGAAAGTCTCCCCAAGATCAAGGAACATTGTATGAAAGAGCATGTAAAGAGCATTATCAAATGCAGTTCATGCAATGAAGGGTTCCAAACAGCAGAACTTTTAAAGTTTCATATTCAAAATACCCATGGCCTTGAAGCTGTTCCTCAGCAGGGCACCAGTAGGACCATGTGTGGACTGTGCATGATCCTGCTCAAGTCAAGTTGTCTGTTGGAGAAGCACATGGATCACCACATGCAGGAGCTGAAGAAGAACGCAAAGTTTGGGTATCAGTGCAGCGACTGCTACCCGAAGATGCCCGTTTTTACTTCAAAGCAGCTGCTCATTCAACACATGCAAGCAGTTCATAGAAAACTGCAGACAGTGTCCTGCAACTGCTGTGACCTGATGTTCAACTGTGTCCTTGCCTTGGAGAAACATCGTCAGAAGGTACATCCTGTACAGCCACACTCAGTGGGGCGTCATGAACACACCAAGGTCACCTACCAGTGTGGAAAATGTAAAGTGACAAACCCATCAGCTGCTGCTTTGAAGAAGCATGATTGCAAGCCACAGACTCAGTCCATACCCACGGTGCCCATCACGGTAGCAATGTGTGCTAGATGTAAGTATATCATGGCAAGTGATTACTCGAAACATAAGTGCCCAATGGCTACTAAAAGTCCAGACAAAGCCTCATCAGAGTCATCTGTGGGCCTTAAGGGTCCGACCAAACCATTCCCCGTGCAGCTGATCACAATCTCGAAACAGTCCCTCATGCCTCTATCAGGGAACACAATTCGCTTGAAGAAGGTTAAAGACTTCAGTTGCAAGCACTGCAAAAAGTGTTTAGATTCGGCAGGAGAATTAGCAGCTCATCTACAGAGCTGTGAAAGTAATCTTCCCATGAAGAGAACTTTCAAGGCATCTCTGAAAAGTAAAAGCACTCTCAGTAGTTCCCAATATGTGTTTTCGTGTAACTTGTGTCATGCCAAGTTTCCTTCAAAAGACAGGCTATTAATCCACATCCAAGATCACAGCCACAATGGTGATAAGATGTGTTCGGTCTGCAAGGTGATGGTCTTCAAGACGGGAGCCCAACTGGAAGGGCATACTCCGTCTTGTAAGGGGCCTGATCTTGTAGCTGATCCAGACACCAAGGTTCAGTGCCGAGTATGCTGCCAATTCATCCAGCGGGTTTACTTGAAGAATCATATCCTCACACACATTACCAAGGGGAAGATGATGTGTCGCCATTGTCAGAGGATGCAGTTTCAAAGTCGAGAGGAGTTCAAATCTCATGAGTATGCATGTGGTTTCACGGACTACCCCTTAGAGCACAATTACTGCTATGTCTGTGCGATGACGTTTGACTACCTCGAACAGCTCGTTGTCCACCTTCAGCAGCATGTGAAGGAGGGAACACTCGTGTGCTGTAAGTGTCAGAGATCCAGTTTCACCACGAAGGAGGAGCTGGAGGGTCACCACGAGACGTGCGGACAAGACTACATGAACATCCTGCCCGGCGAGATGTGCAGCCTCTGTCGGTGTTCATTGCAATATCGGCCAACAAGCTACTTGCACCGCCACATAACGCAGCATGTTACAAAAGGAGCTCTCATTTGCTGCCGGTGTCAGAAGATGGGATGGGAGAGCTTTGGTGAAGTGAAATCCCATCAAATAGGCTGTGGAATGTTCACGGAGAACACAGCACTGCCGTTCCACCAACAAGACAGGAAGTGTGTGTGCACCATCTGCAACAGGGACTGCAGCAACATGAACGCTTTAATAGCTCACCTGAAACAGCATGTAGCTAATGGACAGCTTATTTGTACAAAATGTCAGAAAAGGGGTTGGAAGAATGCATCCACGTTGATGAACCATGAAGTAACCTGTGGCGTCACTCTTGCTAAGTCAGTCAAAGCTGGTTACAAGACAATGGATCATGTGTGTGAGCACTGTGGTAAGATGTTCCGCAAGTTTAACCTCCTGACAGAACATGTGAAGAAGGAACATGTCAGTTTTCCGTGCCACCTCTGTGGTCTGTCATATGACACCAAATCAGCCCTGGTGAGTCACGTCGGTGTGGTTCATGACGGTAAACGGTCTCTTTTCTCTTGTAATATATGTAAAGAGAAGAAAATTGAAAAGAGTTTTGCAAGTCAGTCAGGTTTAGAGAAACACATGAGGAAAATGCACAAACACCATCGTCGTCGCTCTGATAGCTCTGACATCAGTAATACAGAAAGGCACAGCTCTGATACTTCATCCAAGCCATCGTCCCCCCCACCTGTGAAGCGACTTCGAGTTGAGGGGGACTTGCATTATACTTGTGCCAAATGTCCTGTCGTCACGGAGGATGCTGTTCACTTTGCTGAACACATCAAGGAGCACAACTCTGACAACGCCAACCAGTGTCCTGACTGTGGCCTCTGTTTCGCAATCCTGGCCACTCTCAAGAAGCACCTGTTCCTTGTCCACAAGATCCGAGACTCGTACAAGTACTTGCAAGACAGGGGCATGAAGACAGAAGAGGAGGAAATAATTTCTGACTCGGAGGAACTGTCCCCACCACCAATAAAGAAATCCAGATGGACGAACCATTCTATGGCGACAAGGAAGTCTGACAATCCACTTGAATGTACTGTATGTTCAACAACGTTTGATACTGACAAGCAGTTGAAGACACACATGAGAATACATGGCATGGCATTCATTTGCTCCAACAAGAGAGCTGGTTCCGTAAAGTCTAGTCCCAGTGGAGATGCATCGCCAAAAGTGGCCCTATCGCCAGCCAAGTCATCAATAAGTTCAAGTTCTGACAGAAAGATTTCCAATAATGCTGGGAGCCAGGATGTGAAGAAGAAGACAGAGACTGATTCGGAGACCTTGGCAGACACTCCACTGCCTGAGGACACACAGCAGACACAGAGGCTTGTCAAGGTCAAACAGGAACCCATGGATTACGATTGACGCGACAGACACATCTTCAGCCTCATCCCTCAGTCATGATGCTGTTGTGCTAGGTGACCTTCAGCTGATGTTTTGTTATCACTGAGCATATCTTTGGTTGTTGTAGAATCTTGATTTGAATTATCTCTCTGTGGAGGCCAGTCAGCCTGCTCTTTTGATTATGGCTCTCCATCTATGGATGGAACAATTCACTGATGGGATGATATGTAATGATGGTAGGAGCGTTGCTTTGTCATGCTAAAGGCCAAGGTTTGGTTCCCCATCTGATGTGTGAAGCCCATTTCCCGTGTTGTTATGAAACCTAATCGCTTAGCAAGCAACTGTTTGTGTCAAGAGACATTTCAGCATTGATACCAGTATGTTTATCAAGGATACATGCTTGTTGTATTGTCTTGAGGGATATAATACCGTTCTTTTTTTGTTTTGGCTAGCGCGTTCTTGAAAATGCACTGTACTTTTTGTGTTTGTTTTTTTATATATATAGTTAGTACCTGTCCTATAAGAAAGCTTCCTCAGCTGTTTCAGCCCATAGGAGGACAGTATGACATAGTGGTTTCAGGAAGACTTCACCCCATTTGAGGGTAATCACATCCTCGCAGTGTGTATCTCCATTGTTATGATATGTACCCTGGACCCACCTTAGCTTTGTTTTGAAGCCATGTTCAAAATAGCTGCCTACTTTCAAGCCAAATGCCAGAGACGTTTAAATTGGGCTAGTGACATTTCTGTAAAGATTGACAGACTGTCTAAGCGTCATATAACGTCAAAGTCTGTTGTCATCTTTTCCAGCTGAAATATCTTTATTACGATCTTGTGATTCCTCTAAATACATCTCGTTACTAAGATGAGGCTGCAATTTTGAATGTAGATCTATCCAGAACTCCTGTTCAGAATAGGCATTTGGATTAGTTGTTAACTGATTTCAAGCTAGGGAAATTGTGTGCTCTGTTAGTGATATGGGAGCTGGAGCTGGTGACATCACGTTCAACATGAAGCTCTGGTGGTGTGTGGGTCCAGGGTATACATCACTGGATGAACGAGGATGGGTAGCCCGAGCTGAACAACCAGCTGTTCTTGGGTGTCACGGTTCCTTCTCTATGGGACCAGGGCTACCGTTTTCAATAATGTTTACTTTATATTCCTCTTCTACACCGTCACTTTCGGTAAGAAATCAGTAATTTATACAAGGAAATATGAACTGTCATGCAAATGTTCGGTCTCAGTAGGGGCGCAAAGACTATACTTACAAATTGGTTTAGAAGTTGGTCAGGGTGCTTATTTATAGCAGTGCGTTTAATACAGCAAATACGGTACATGTTTTGTCCCTACTTCTGTAATTGGGCAACTGGGGGAATACCAGGGCAGAACAGTCTCCAGTCTCCATTGCTTGAGCTGGGGGCATGTATGACCTAGCTGATGAGTCGTCATACTCCAGCAAGGAATAGCGGTCTTGCTATTAATCGGTGCCTTTCCTGGCCCAGACTCAACTATTTACAGTCCGGGTGATACAGCTGGAATATTGCTGACTGGTGGAAAACTTGCACCAACTTTATGATGCAGCACTGTTGACTGTTCAGTGTATGTGTGATCTAGTCATGAGAAATTAAATAATATGAATGTTGACATAACTTGGAAAATGAAGTCTTCAAATCTACTTCCTGCTGCTATTTTTGAATATCCAAGATATTTGTGCTCATTGATATGCATGTATAACATTGCCAAGGTTTCAGTCATATATTTTGAGGTTATGGATATAGTGTACAGTTTGTGAAACCAACATGTATCCTGTCGGCTTTCTCACCATTGCCAAAGTGGTCAGAGTGTGCAGGGCTGGGACGAGTCCAAATTTACTACCCCGATACCTGACCCCCTTTTGCCAGACCCCCTTTTGCCAGACCCTTCCGTGGTACCTGCTGTAGGTCTCAAGAGTTGGGTAGAAAATGTCCAACTGAAATTGTTTCACCGGAGCCCTGTAAAACAAAATTTAGATGCATGTTAAAAACGATCTGATCATGCATACACAAGAGTTGACAGAAGCTTTATCTTTACTCAAAAATAACGAAGTTAGAAGTAATGCATGCAACTTTAGAGTAACCCTGCAGTTTTATTGTTTTTTTGTCATTAGACAATATATCACATGACTAACCACAGGTCCAGGACTTCAGGTACTCCAGTGGGTACCCGGGTCCTACTCAGGACCCACTTGACCCGAGTTCCAGAGTTACTCGTGCCAGCCCTAGTCTGCTCACATGTTCAATTACAGGGAGGCTGATTGTTATTCTTGGTCTGCTTACGGAAAGTTTTGTTCTGCGGATTATTTTTCATTTGATTTATAGTGACTTTTTGGTCTACATGAAGATTGTTGGTCAAGAGATCCTTTTCATTGTATTTATGATGAAAGGCAAAGATTTACAGGGTCCCCAGAAAAAGGCACCACTAATCCCCAGAAACTCAGAAACCACCTTAATTTCAACAGGAAATTGATGGGATAAGAGATTATTGTCCCCTGCCATGAAGGGGAAGTGGGATTTAGGAATGGGTGCTGTCCGTCACATTTTGTTTCCGGGGCAGAACTCACGACCCATAAGAGATACCTTGAGCAAACTTGGCACATAGATAGGTCTAGTGGTGAACTAGTGCCTTTTGATAGTTTGGGATTTTTTAAACATTTATCTTCCGAGGTTCCATGGCAAAGACTTTGACAGGGGGATACAAGTATTTCATGCTTGTTTTGTTTTGACGAAAGTGCTCAGATAAGCTTTATGGCCTAAAGTGGTCAGTCTGCATGTTTTCATGTCCTTTTATATCTAGAATAAATTTGATTGTAAATTAATTCATTTACTTGGAATATTGATATTGCAGACTTGCAAATGTTCGGTCTCAGTAGGGGCGCAAAGACTATACTTACAAATTGGTTTAGAAGTTTGTCAGGGTGCTTATTTAAAGCAGTGCGTTTAATACTGCAAATAAGGTACAAGTTTTGTTCCTACTTCTGTAATTGGGCAACTGCGGATATTCCAGGGCAGAACAGTCTCCATTCTCCATTGCTTGAGCTGGGGGCATGTATGACCTAGCTGATGAGTCGTCATACTCCAGCAAGGAATAGCGGTCTTGCTAATAATCGATGCCTTTCCTGGCCCAGACTCAACTATTTACAGTCCGGGTGATACAGCTGGAATATTGCTGACTGGTGGAAAACTTGCACCAACTTTATGATGCAGCGCTGTTAACTGTTCAGTGTATGTGTGATCTAGTCATGAGAAATTATATAATATGAATGTTGACATAACTTGGAAAATGAAGTCTTCAAATCTACTTCCTGCTGCTATTTTTGTATATCCAAGATATTTGTGCTCATTGATATGCGTGTATAACATTGCCGAGGTTTCAGTCATATATTTTGAGGTTATGGATATAGTGTACAGTTTGTGAAACCAACATGTATCCTGTCGGCTTTGTTAGGCTGGACAAACTTTCATTTCTCACCATTGCCAAAGTGGTCAGTGTGTGCAGGGCTGGGACGAGTCCAAATTTACTACCCCGATACCTGACCCCCTTTTGCCAGACCCCCTTTCGCCAAACCCCTCCGGGGTACCTGCTGTAGGTCTCAAGAGTTGGGTAGAAAATGTCCAACTGAAATTGTTTCACCGGAGCCCTGTAAAACAAAATTTAGATGCATGTTAAAAACGATCTGATCATGCATACACAAGAGTTGACTGAAGCTTTATCTTTACTCAAAAATAAGGAAGTTAGAAGTAATGCATGCAACTTTATAGTAACCCTGCAGTTTTATTGTTTCTTGTCATTGACAATATATCACATGACTAACCACAGGTCCAGGGCCCACTTGCACAAAACGATCTTAGCGCTAAGACTATTGTAAGCCTATGCTAAAGTATGGGAGTAACAATCATCTTAGCGCTAAGATCGCTTTGTGCAAGTGGGCCCAGGACTTCAGGTACTCCAGTGGGTACCCGGGTCCTACTCAGGACCCACTTGACCCGAGTTCCAGAGTTACTCGTGCCAGCCCTAGTCTGCTCACATGTTCAATTACAGGGAGGCTGATTGTTATTCTTGGTCTGCTTACGGAAAGTTTTGTTCTGCGGATTTTTTTTCATTTGATTTATAGTGACTGTTTGGTCTACATGAAGATTGTTGGTCAAGAGATCCTTTTCATTGTATTTATGATGAAAGGCAAAGATTTACAGGGTCCCCAGAAAAAGGCACCACTAATCCCCAGAAACTCAGAAACCACCTTAATTTCAACAGGAAACTGATGGGATAAGAGATTATTGTCCCCTGCCATGAAGGGGAAGGGGGATATAGGAATGGGTGCTGTCCGTCACATTTTGTTTCCGGGGCAGAACCAGAGATACCTTGAGCAAACTTGGCACATAGATAGGTCTAGTGGTGAACTAGTGCCTTTTGATAGTTTGGGATTTTTTAAACATTTATCTTCCGAGGTTCCATGGCAAAGACTTTGATTTGGACTGAATATAGCGGTATTGGCAGGGGGATACAAGTATTTCATGCTTGTTTTGTTTTGACGAAAGTGCTCAGATAAGCTTTATGGCCTAAAGTGGTCAGTCTGCATGTTTTCATGTCCTTTTATATCTAGAATAAATTTGATTGTAAATTAATTCATTTACTTGGAATATTGATATTGCAGACTTGTGAATAGCTTGAATAAAGTGTGCAACACTGTCTACAAGTTGTTTTGTTTCCTGGCATGCAATGCAGAGTGATGAATCATCATGTCGATCTTTTCAGCCATCTGTTGGAGCCACGGATGGCCCAATCATCAAAGCTGTCACAATTGACTGTGCAGAGTGGTGTCCCTTAGGTGTGCAAGGATCCTATAATTGTAAGGTGGCCCTGATCATTATCCTTGGTTTGTCAGCAGCATAACTGCTGGTGAATTTCACTTTGGGTTTACTCACACATTAATCTGATGCGCCGGCATGTGACTGAAAGTAGAGTTAAACCTGACTCACTCATTCATCCTCTGCAATCACTTTGTTTTCAGAGCATAACACATCCCAGCACTCTGTTGCTCAAGTCATACAAGGCAACGAAATGGATCAAGTGGTCAGACTTGATGACTTGATTGCGGAGTGCAGTGTTAAACAACAAACTGTTACAGACCGCTGTCACATAGCCGGAATGTTGCTGAGTGCAGTGTTAAACAACAAACTGTTACAGACCGCCGTCACATAGCCGGAATGTTGCTGAGTGCAGTGTTAAACAACAAACTGTTACAGACCGCTGTCACATAGCTGGAATGTTGCTGAGTGCAGTGTTAAACAACAAACTGTTACAGACCGCCGTCACATAGCCGGAATGTTGCTGAGTGCAGTGTTAAACAACAAACTGTTACAGACCGCCGTCACATAGCAGGAATGTTGCTGAGTGCAGTGTTAAACAACAAACTGTTACAGACCGCCGTCACATAGCAGGAATGTTGCTGAGTGCAGTGTTAAACAACAAACTGTTACAGACCGCCGTCACATAGCAGGAATGTTGCTGAGTGCAGTGTTAAACAACATACAAAAACAAGACAAATAAACTTCAAACTAAGGCAACAAAATATAAAAACACAAAATGAAATAAAGGTGTATGATCATGATGAAATTACTTAACGTTAGCAGATCATAGCAGTTCAGCTTGGTGACGAATTTCATTACCTATTCAGATGTGAAGCTCTTCTCTATTGGCAGTCTATGTACATACATAAAGATCTCTCCAAATGGCCTAATATGTATAAATTGAACAAAATGTTTATCTAGCATTAGAGTGAAAGATATGAAAAACTTTTCCAAATTCATCAATACCATCTTTAGAAATGTTGACGCTGTTAAAAAACATGTATGAGATTCTTGTCACTTTAAATTTGTCATATTTCATTGTGACTTATGACCTCTATATGCATTTGAAAATACCCCTGTCATCTTGATATTAATATTATGTATGAATTTATATTATAATTTTTTCTCATGTACCACCATTGGTGTGTTTCTCTGAGAATAAACTAAACTGATCTACAGCTATTGGCACACTCCATACACAATCAACTAAGAATGAATAGACTGAATATTATACAAGTAGTAATAGCTAACATCACAGAATCCTAACATACTAACCACATACTAGTATGCAATGTTTGACTACTATGCAATGTTTGACATTGCATATGAATCCTGTATTTACTCAATTAGGAAAATGTAGCATTCACTCAAACATTCATAATAAGAAATATAAAAGAAAAGTGAGAAGCATCTAAAAAGTTAACTTAGGCCTAATTAATTATTTTATTAAGAACTAAGCGCCGTGATCAACGTACAAGATATAAACATTTTACTAATACTGGAATAACATTAAACATAACTCGGGACACATAAGTTATATTATTACATAACACATACAAAGATAGTATCTAGCAATTCTACATATTAATCACCTTAACAATCTTATGGTTGTCCAAAGATCTGTCACTTGTGTTGTGCCAAGTGCAACATGGATTAAAGTAGTTTGAACAAGTTGATGAAATCAAGGTATGGGTTACAGTAGAACAAACAAAGCCATTAACATGCACCAAACCCATCCATCTTTTACTTTCAGAAGCCCGAAATTGATGCTGAGGTAAGAAACTACTTTACCAACAACTTAAAAATAATGCCAGAGAAATAAAAGAACCTGAGTAGATAAGTATATTTACAAGAAAACTATATATGAACACTGCCACAATCTCTGGATTGATGATTATTTACAGGCTGTCAACATTTGAAGGAGTGAGTGAGAGGTTTTATGCTACTTTTAGCAATATTCCAGCAATATCACAAAATGGGAACACCAGAAATGGGCTTCACACAATATGTACACATGAGGGCAATAAACCAGGTTTTCCACGTGATGAGCGAACACTTTAGCCACTAGGCCACACCTTTTAAATTTTATGTTTCACACATTTATTCCAACTTTTCCACACAAGGTTGGTCAAAATAAATATAAATAGCTATGTCAATCATTTATTTATTTATATGAAAGTCAGTCTGCCATGGAGTTAAAACTGCAGGTGGCCTCTTGAATCACTGATAGTGCTGGAGACATCCAATTTATATATAACACTTTTCATTGTACATAAGAGGGACTAAATGCTACTAGCAGGAGACATAATAATTTTTATATTATTTTGTTCGTTTCATTTATTTCTTTTCCAGCTGCTTTTCAGTAGAGACAGCTGGCTTGAAATGAAAAATAAAAAATGTGTGGCCTTAATGTGGATGTCAACTTCTTTATATTGAGGAACATATTATGTTTCGGAGTGTAGGTTGTAATAAAGAAGTGCCTCATTATAAAGAAGTTGACATGCATATATTCTCTGTCTTATGTGAATTCACTTCTAAATGCCATTCAAAGACTTGTCATAATTTAGCTTGAGTGTGGCGACAATAAACATCATAAAGCTTATTTAATAATTCACATACCTTGGGGTATAGATATTATGTGTGATCGGTCACACTCGAGTGAACATATTCTGGGGTAGTTTTGCAGTTAGCCTGGAGGTATAAGCATTGCTTGTCAGGATCATGGCCTCGCTTTGATTTTGACCTTGACATTGCTGGAATATTGCTAAGAGCGGCACAAAACGATTGCTCTACATATGATTACTGGGGAGTCTTGCCCTAAATAAATATTTCAAATGCCATTCTCAATTTGAACCCATAAAAGGCTCTCATGAAATACTTGGCACACAACTAAGTGGTCTTTTGACAATATAATGTTCCATTTTAATAAAGCTTCCTTAATGGAGAAGGATCCTATAACTCAGAGAGGAGATTAAGATAACTAATTGAAATCCTGGCATTAAACAAAAGCATCAACTTTCAAAAACTAAGAAAACAGAGTCGGGACATTTATCAGATTATCGTCTGGCTTATTGTCATGAAAGGTCAAGGTTATCCGAGATCACAAGCCATGAATACCACCTCAGCAGTATCAATTACTCTTGGAAAAAGTATGGGCAAGGCAATTTAACAATATCAGCTACTGGTTCAAAGTTGTTTCATTCAGCTTTGGATTAATGAAATAGACCCAGAGCAAATAAATAAAAACTAGGATGTAGTTACAGAATCTAGATCTGCTATATATTTATACTTTTCGATGTGGCCATTTTGACTTTTTTTTAACATGGCCATTTTGACAAAGATATATGAGGCCATTTTCCCGTGGCTGTCGGTGTAAATGTTGATAAGTGTCCACTTTGACCCGTTTCCCGCCAACAATGGCGGAGTTCGTCCTGTGGTTTTGAGAAGTAACTCAACTGCGTTTGGTGATAAGACTTATCAACAGTTGTTGGCGGAAGCAAGTGACCCAGAGTAAGCCTTAGTATACAAAACAACACTGTTTGTACCGGTGTCTGGCAAAACTGCGTCTACTCGTACCAGTAAAAGAGTGTGTATTGAACCTAACGTTAGGAAAATGTAACCACTTAGTTTGAACGCAAATACGCGCCTGCCTTCCTGGTGAATTATGTCAACATGTACGATTTCATTGGATGACGTTGTATTTATGCACACAAATATAGGTCGAAAATGTACAATGTTCTGTTTTCAAATCATACACATGTTGTGTAAAAACCCAAGCCACTATCAATATGAGTTTTAGCCCAATATCGTATTATGTGCTTAGAGGAATGGAACTGGTTTTTAAGAAGATACTATGTTTTGAATGCGGGATCGACTTGAATGTAAAGAGGAAGAACGTAATCATCATTGAACTAAATGGCCGAATTGATGTCCTTGCGATCTTAACATAATGTTGAAAAGCCTGTGCTTAAGATCAGGTAAAATAGTGAAACAAGCCTGATGACATTTACTGGCTTAGATCAAGATTTCAAACGTTCAAGCCAAACAACAAAAATTGTGATTGTATTTTCTTGACGACTATCCGCGGGAATAGTTGTTACAGTGAGCATGAAATGTTACGAAAGACATTTTTATTATTGTGATATATTTTGTACACAAAGTAATTTATTATCAAAACGTTGATGATTTATTGGATTGTTGAAATTGAGTTGAGTCAGTAATGTAAATAACCTTTTTAATTTTTTTTTCATCTGCAGCAGAGACCATATAATAGATTTTGACAGTAATTTCCAATTACAAAATGCAAAATTGTCACCAGGCTATTATAATTTAAATTTTGTGGTCCCTGAAGTCCCTTTCTCAAATAAATCATGACATAGCAGTATTTTATTAATACATAAATTTATAAATTGAAACTCGAGACTATCAATGAAAGTCTATACCTGTATCATTTTGTCTTTGTGTTTTAATTATTATAAGGATGTAGTACATTGGTTGAAGGGCCAGTTACCAACGGTTCAGCGTGTTTTGAAATCATGCATGAAATCATTTTCAAGTTGGATGTCACACCTTTTAATTCATGAACGATTCAATTCTCAAATAATAGAAATAATAGAGCTCCGCACAGGGAAGCCGACACCCCAAGAGCTGCTCAGAATAACTGGCTTGGGTCATGTTTTTGTTGTAGGCAAATTAACGAGAAAGCTTGTGTGTTATTTGTATGGATGAGTTGCGCGATGCTAATTGCCAGCTGGATTGGATGAGAAGCCAGTGCATGTTTATCAAAGCCTAATTATAAATGCCTTGGTCATATGAAGCCAATCACGTTGCAGAACACTCTTTTACTCAGAGGTCCTAGCGGCCAGTTTAGTACCTCCGCCACATCATTACATCTTACAAAGTCCATTCAAGATATTACATGGTAGACACAATTTTATGGATAACAACTTCTTTAATACTGTAATGCCGATGTTTCAGTATAGATCCTTATACCTTGCTTGACAATGGTATAAGGATCTATACCGAAACGTCACATTTTACAGTCATCCGTCAACTTCTAAGTAATGCCTATCAAACAATTCAAGATATTACATGTTTTATATTTGTATTTGACAAGTCTACACATTTAGATAAATATGAACATGTCATGAATGTTTTACTTTCATTGAGAAAGTATCCTAAAATGTAAAAAACTATTTCCATTTGCGTAGTTATCCTTTGTTTACATTGGTTGTATGGCTCCACTGCTGTCATCAAAGCCCTACAGAGAGGTGGCGATATGGTCACTTTGATTTGTTTGCAAGCAAGAGCAAAATCTGTTCATATTAGGCGAGCATAGCAGAGTAGGTGGGGTTATCACATATTGTTTGCAAACAATGTTTTAACAGTTGGCCCAAAGTTGAGAAATTAATTTTTTGTAATGGCTTCGATTTAAATGTTTCTTCTGAAGCACGAGATTGCGACATGACCATGTTTATTTAACATGTGACTGATGCAGTTGGCAGGTATGTTTTCTCTTTGAAATTGAGGGGAGGTGAAATGGGGTTTATCGTCGCATCCAAGATAATTGCACTTATATAGCGGCGTGCATGCTGGTAGGTGTGTGTTCTAGTCCAGACTGATGCCAATTTATAGTGCTAGCACACTGAGATACCATGCCGCAGTTTAACATGAATACCTGACTCAGACACAGTATACTGACTCCGAGCTGACCAGTCCTTGTTTTCGCCCCTTAATGCCAAGCGCCAGACAGGGTAACAACAAGTACCAGCTTTTAAGGTCTTTTGGTAGGAACCTTTGGCTGATGCTCTACCACTAGACCACGGAGGCGGTCTCTCTTTAACAGAACTGCATGTTCAAGTTGAAAAGGGGACACAAATTCCTTGGCAATAGCATCTTCATCTGACCCCCATCTGTTCCTTGACTTGGTTGATACATGTCATCATATCCCAATTGCACAGATGGGTGCTCATGATATCAATTACTGGATTGTCTGGTCCAGTCTCGATTATTTACAGACTGTTGTCATGTAGCTGGAAAATTGCTGAGTGTGGCGTTCAACAACAAACTAACAAAACAAAAATAATTCTGTATTTAGCAAAACTTGTGTTCTGGCAACGATCCTCTGACATCCATCCCATGTCCATCAGAAACAAACAAACATTCCATTTTTTCCACAGCAAGAGAGTGAATCTGCAATGCTTTTTGGTTGTTGCTTACAAAATAGCTGTGTTAAAATTATTTCGAAGGCCTCTGTTTTCCAAGTGATTCATGAACCAAAGTATACAGATAACTATTAATTTTGCAGGAATATACATTCTTTGACTTTTGTGACTATGGAATCTCATTGAAAATCATTAAAAATTTACCCATATATGAAGGAAAATGTTTTGTAGTGATGTGTTGAATAATTCAGTATGCAATAACATTACAAAGGGTGTCGGGAAGGTTTTGAGCCTAACTATGAAGGATGTATTGTACACCCTAATAACAGTTTCCATTTATCATGAACAATACACCTTACTTCAGGCTGTATAGGAACTGAATACACAACCAGACAGCATATTTCTGCCGACATCAAAGTGACTAGATATTGTTTGTTGATGAAAATGGACAAAATTGTCATCAAGTATCTCCGACTGAAAGGGCTTACTCTGACAGCCATGCATGCAGACATGATTTCAACTTTAGGGATGGTGCTCCTTCCTTCCAGAGTCCAAGAAGGGAAAAAAGAAAGCCTCGAAGATGACCACGATCAGGAAGACCTTCAGTTGCCGCCATTACAGAAAATGTTGATAAAACACATGATATGATTATTGATGATCAACGACCCATAACACGTCAAGTGTCCAATACAGTAGGCATCTCTCGTGAGAAAGTCGAGAACATTGGGGAATGAACTGGGCATGACAAGGGTTTCAGCACACTGGGTTCCAAGGCTTCCGACTCATGATCAGAAACACTCCAGGGTTATTATCTCTTCTGAGAAATTGTGTTATTTTGAAGAAGACCCAGCTGAATGTTGAGCGATTTGTAACCATGAATGAGTCATGTGTGTTTGCCACCATCAAACAGAGACTGAACAACAGTTAAAGCAGTGGAAACTAGGGCTGGGACGGGTAACTCGGGTACTCGGATCGGGTGGGTACTGAGTAGGACCTGTGTGCCCACAGGACTATCCGGACCCGTGGTTAGTCAGGTGATATATTGTTTAATGGGACAAATTATCTGGAACTCTATGGTTACACTATAAGTGACTAATGTTCGTATTTCTTTCTGACTATGCGCCCATTCCTTTTGACTTTATATGTTTGAATAAAGATAAAACTTCTGTCAACTTCAGTGTATGCATGACCAGATCGTTTTATACGAGTATTTTTGCCAGGGCAACGGTCAAACTATTCCCAATCGGACATTTGGACCTATCTCTTGGGACCTACACGGGGTACTCTAGTAGGGTCGGGTAACAGGGGTGTGTATCGGGTCGTAATTTTTGACACGTCGCAGCCCTAGTGGAAACATGTAGCATCTCTTCTTCTGAAGAAGACAAAGTCTGTTCCATTAGCTGGCAAGGGGATGGCTGTTGTATTCTGGAATTCCAAAGGAATCCTACTGGTGGACTTCTAGGGGTGAACCGATACATCGGTGCATCGTGAGTTTAATGTGATGATACAATACACGATACATTTTTTTCTGTATCGATACAAGAGGATACACTTGCTGAAATACATTACTAACTTCTTGTTTAATGACCTCAGAGTTTTTGTCAGTCAGATGTAGCAAACTGTGTTGTAATTACAAGAAGTTTCCATGTGATTTGAAGTAAATATGCATATAGCGATACAAATCGTGACCTAGGTATCATGATACGTATCGTATCATGGCAGTATCGTTTCACCCCTATGGACTACTTCCCCAATGGTCAGACCATTAAAGGCCAATATTATGCTGATCTGTTAAAGCATCTGCAGGAGAATATCAAAGCAATACTACATGGAAAAGTCAGAAAGGTGTGTTGTCCGACCATGAGCACAAATATCCTGTCGCATAGTTGCAATGCATGACTATGGCTTTGAACTCATTAGAACATCCTTCGTATTTACCAGATATGGTCAGATTTCCACCTCTTCCCAAACATGAAGAAAGAACTGTCTGGCAAGCGTTATGCAAATGATGATGTCATTTCTGCCGTGAAAGACTTTTTACACCACCTGGAGGAAGTCTTCTATACCAATTGGATCCTGGTACTCCATCATCGTTGACAAAAGGGTGTGGGCCTCGGAGGGGATTATGATGAAAAGTAGTTGGTAACCAACACCATCACTGTAGCCAATCATGGTTCGGCTCAGAACTTTTCAGCCACCCCTCGTGGCCCAGTCGTCTAAGGCGCCGCGATTCGCTGTGCAGAGTTGCGTCCCTTGGGCTGCCAGAAACCTATGATTGTGGGTTCCAAATCCGGTTCGCCCCAATTATGTTTCTAGGTTTGTCAGCACCATACCCGTGCTCGTGGGTTTCACCGAAGTGGTAAACGTCTGAGACCTGCATCACTTCGGGCTTTCCTCCCACATTTAGCTGACACGCCGTGATATAACTGGAATAATGTTAAAAGCGGCGTTAAACCCAACTCACTCACTCACTCAGCCACCCCTCATATTTTAGACAGATGAAAAACACTTATGTCTCCTGTACACCAGGAGACACGATTTGAGTCATCTTTATGACATCTGTATAGTTTTATTAAGACAACTTATATGTCCATAAGAGCCTTTATCTGAAGCCCAGTGTTTTTTTGCCTCATATATAGACCATGTAGATTAGTTCTAGGAAGATCAGAGTTGTGATGGTAAATGTTATTTTCATTTTACAGATGACTGTGGTGCCAAGGTAACCTGACCAGGATATATCCAGAGTCTGGTGTTTGTCATGATGTGTGAAGTACGGACATCTATGGAAGTTGATGAGACAGCTGTGTCCAAGACATGCAATATGGTCATCAAGACGGAACAGATCGCTCCTGATGAGGCCGGGGGATCACGTACACATCGTAGTAATGAGATGGATACTGAAGATGATGTCACAGGGCCATATACTGATCGAACTGATCATGAAGTCGAGGCAGAGTCACATTGTAGTGATTACAGAGAAAGTGCACACCCTTCAGAAACACATGATAAACATATCGTCCTTCCAGTTGAACAGTCGAGAAGAAAACAACCAATCAGAAAGTCTTCAGTGTGTATGTATACGAATCAATTAGACAAAAGAGCCAAGGAGCCAATGAGGGAACAAGACAGTGAGCCTGGGTGTTGGGTGAAGACGAGCACTGGTATGCCTGTGATCAAGAAGGAAGATCGTGATCCAGATGATGCCAACAAACTCGTGTATGAGGAGCATTGGGGGACAGAGTGTGAAGATCAGTTTGCTGTCTACTTGAATGAAAACGCAGACATGAAGTTTGACAACCAGACGGATTCACCTGTGTCTTGGAATACTGGAGAATACCAGGTTGATTCACCAATGGTGGATGTTCCTTATCAGTGTGAAGAGGACCAGATGGAGGGTGTCACTGAGCAGGTTAAGGTGGAACCAGTGGATGTACTGTCAGAAGCAGCAGCAGCAGCAGCAGGTGGAGGACACAGGACCCTGACAACACCACCGCTACTTTCTGTGTCCGATTCTTCACCTGTATTTCATGTCAATAGCTCCAGAAATGATCAATTGAAACCAGGGGTCATCTTTCAAAATATCTCAGATCAAGTTAAAAGTGGAGAATTTGATGTATCAGGTGATTTTGAATCAAATGTCGAGGATGGATCTCGGTGCGGGACGAGGGAGAGTCCTGTGGACCAAGAAATCCAACTCAACCAAGCAAGTGATTCTGATTCAGCTGACATTGCAATTCCATGTAAAGAATGTGAGATGGAGTACTCCTCTCGTGCTGAGTTTGAGAAGCATCAGGAATTGTACAGTGGGGCCAGTGTCAAGTACTATTGTCCAACCTGTAAGCAGCAGTTGATGTCCAAGTGCCAGTTACTCCAGCATTCACACAGACATGGAGGCATCAGCAGGAAGTCATCGCACAACAGCCACCTCTCATCATCCAAACCAGCATATGGGGGAAAGCGTAATGTAAGAACATGCCGCTACCTTGAAAAACTGAAAACACAATTGCACTTGAGACATGGTGAGATTATTGTGTGTTTGGTGTGCAAGAAAAGGTTTAAAGGAAAAGCCATGTTGGTGAAACACTTGGGTGAAGATGTGGACTGCAATCCAGACTTTAGTTGCCTGGAGTGCCACGTAGTATTAGCTTCCGAGTGTGCGCTTGTCACCCATCTTACGCTCCACAAGCAGCCTGAAAAAAGTGATGAGTATTTCATGTGCCCAGAGTGTGGCAAGTTCTTCTTCACATCTTGGGATGCGTATCTTAGACATGTGAGAAACGAGTGTCTTCACTTCTGCCGAGTCAGTGTCTTCACGTGTAGGGTGTGTGGAAATAAGCTGAAGAGCTTTACTCAATTCTTAGCCCATTTTGAATCGCACTTTTTCGACTTTCCGTACTGTAAAGAATGTTGCTTCAGGAGCAGCTACAAAGGCAAGCATTACCCTGTGTCAAAACATTCCACTGTGACAAATTGTGTTGTCTGTAATGAAAGACTTGTGACGGATTGTCAAAGAGGAAAACATGTGAAGAAGCATGGGAATGAAGTGAAGGACTCTGCTGTCTCTGAATACAAATGTCCTGACTGTGCAGAGGAGACACTGTTTGAAACCAAGAATATCTTGTGGTATCACAGAGTGGTCAGTCACAAGGTAGTGGAACAGTTCTCTTGTAATCACTGTGATTGTGTTCTGTCCTCCCGACACATGTTACAAGCACATATCAGGGCAGTGCACGTCAAACAGGTGTGGCTTGCTGGAGATAGACCAAAAATGAGCAAGGGAAAAACCTTAAAGGTTATCACTTCAACTGTTGGGAAACACGCTGCTGAATCTGATGCAAAAGACGTCAATCCTGAAAGGGATTCCCAAGGTCACCTTGAACTTGAAGGGCAAGAAAATGTAAAACTTGGGAACGAAACAAACCAGACATCAAAAATGAAAACAAATACTGTGAATCCTTCCGCTCCTTCACCGAAAACTCTTCCAGCTATTTTAGACAGGAAAAGGAAACACAGGCCAACATTATTAAGCAGCAAGAACAGGAAAGCAGTCACAACTAAGATCTGGAATACAGTTACAACTAAGATTGGGAATGCGGTCACAACTAAGATCGAGAATGCAATCATAACTAAGATCGGGAATGCGGTCACAACTAAGCCTCCACTGAAGTCATATGGGGAGCCGGCTGTTGAAATAGATGTAGCAGATGAAGCACTGGCTCAAGAAGACAATACTTCAGCGGGTTATACACAAAGTCAACCTCAAGGTCCTCTTGAAGGAGAACAGAAGCTTCCAGTTAAGAAGAAAAGAAAACCAAGGAAACAGGTAATTAAAATAGCTCCGCTGCTCCCAGAGGAGGAGACAGAAGACCCTCTGATTTATCCTCAAGGTCACCTTGGAGAAGACCAGAGTGTAACAAGGGAGATAACTGGACCTGTGATTCCAGTCAGCCATGGGATAATCCAAGTGAGACAGAAGATGGATTTAGTTATGAACACTGATCCATATCAACCTGAGCATAAAAATAGAAGTAAAGTGTTTGTGGAGAAAGACATTGGTGAACCTGCTGCTGAAAAGAATTTGGCCACCCCTGTGACTGTAAATGAAATCGAGGGAGATGTTCACTTAGGATGTGAATCAGAAAATGTCTCAAAGGCTCCACTCTTGATGAAGCAGAAGAAAGATTACCATCAAAATCGTCATAAGTGCCTTGGTTGTATGATCCGATTTGAATCAGCAGATGATTTAAAGGCTCACATATCTCAACACTCGTATGAGAAAGTCCCGCTGATCAGGTGCAGTACTTGCAACATGGTGCTCCCAACAAGTTGCTCTCTACAAGCTCATTATAAAATACATTCCGGTAACAGGAGCATGACACCATCAGCTTGCCCTGAATGTGGTCTTGTATTTACAAATGACATGAGCTCATTTAGAAGGCATGTTGACAGAGAATGTCTGCACTTGAGCCGTGAGAGTTACATTCCGTGTTGTCATTGTGATGAGTTGATCGAGATTTTTAAGTTTCTGGTTCATATCGTTAATATACATGCGCCAAACTGGACTAGAATTTCTAACAGCTGTCCTATTTGTGGGCCTGATGTCCCCATCACACCACATCATCAATATACCAAGCATTTTCTCCGACTGCAGATGGAAGATGTGGTGTTTAGATTCAGCTGTGCAGTCTGCAAACAGTATAACAATGAAAGACTCTTTTCAGAGTTTGACAGTCTGTGGGACCACATGTGTTCATCACATATGAGAATTAGAACTTTCTCGTGCACTTTCTGCAACCTGAAGTTCCCAGATGCACTCAGTCGGAATGCCCATGTTACCTCCTGCCACTATGACTCTGTTCCTGCCACTCCAAAACAACTACAAAAACAAGGGAAGGATGCTCGCCCCAAAGATGCAGAGACAAGCAAATCTGAAACTGTGTTGCAACCCATCAATGAAGTGTCCACAAGCTTTAAGGAAGGAGCAGACGTCATGTTGAAAGAGGGAAACACCACGTCTAGCCCTGCACCATCTGTGTGTGAGGGTGATGCTGGAGGTACCTCCATCACCAGCAGACCCAAGATGTCCCCATCTGTCATTGTCCTCAGAAGACAAAACCTTGATGGTCATACTGGCAGCAGATCTGAACAACTGCTATTGTCTGCATCAGTTGTTACTTCTTCCAAACTGATTTCTGCGTCACCTCCCAGCGAGCACAAACAGCTACCAGCGTCAGTCATTGCCAAGGCAACGGAACAACCTGCTGCACATCTAAGCTTCTATCCAAAATTAGCGTCTGTTCAAAAACCATCAGCTGCAGCAGGAGATAATTCTTGTTCCATCATATATACCCATCAGCAACCAGCTGAATCTGTACCCATCCCGGAACCCATTGCATTTGTCACTCCAGACCTACCTCTTGAAGCAGCTGGTAGTTCTTCCACTAACAAACCCCAGCAACCACAAGTAACTTCAGAATCTGTCACAAGTCTTAACTCTGATGGACATAGTGTTGAAGCTTGTGAAGTCAGCAAGGAGAATATGGAGAAACTTTGCAACAAGTTGTCTTCAGAAAAAGCATCAGTACATCACTTTTTGGATTCAAATCCATCTGAACCTGTGAGTCCGGAAGATGGCCCACCAGCAACTTCAGAATCTGTCACAAGTCTTAACTCTGATGGACACAGTGTTGAAGCTTGTGAAGTCAGCAAGGAGAATATGGAGAAACTTTGCAACAAGTTGTCTTCAGAAAGAGCATCAGTACATCACTTTTTGGATTCAAATCCATCTGAACCTGTGAGTCCGGAAGATGGCCCACCAGCAACTTCAGAATCTGTCACAAGTCTTAACTCTGATGGACACAGTGTTGAAGCTTGTGAAGTCAGCAAGGAGAGTGTCCTGTGCAGACACTGTGGAGAAGACTTCCGTGTTGCTGAGCTCAAGGCACACATAACACACCAGCATCCAGTGAACAACAAATTGTGTGATCATATTCATTTCTCTCAGGATTTGCTCCAGGTGGAAGTCGTGAATATTTATGATGGAAAGTATTTCTTCTGCCCTTACTTAGAAAAGGGGAAATATTGCACCAAGTTGTCTTCAGAAAGAGCATTAATGAAACACTTACTGGACACACATCCATCTGAATCGGTGAGTCTGGAAGATGGCCCATTATTTGTGAAGAAGTTCCACACAGGCTTCAGAAGGCTGAGGACAATGAAGGCTAAAGGCAACATGGTCAAACAGCACCAAGAGTCCACAGTGACTCTTTCTATGAACAGCGTGGACACTCTTCTTCAACAAGAGATTGTCTTGGTAAGGGACGAGGATCAAACTGATGGCTCCATGTCTGAAACCACAGCGTGCCCTGGTGATGCACTACTCACTGCAGGAACAGGATTTACTGGTTTATTGGAGGATCAGCCTGATCAAATACTGCAGGATCAGCCCCATCATGCACTGCAGGATCAGCCCCATCAAGCACTGCAGCAGATTACAAAGATTGGGTCTACAGGGATGCCATGTCCTCCTTTGTACAGAGCAGCTCCTGGCCCGAGTGTATTGTCCTGTCCCTTCTGTGGGCTGACCTGTAAGACAGAGTTCCATGTACTGAATCACGTCAGTGAATGTCACTGTGGGTATCTTCCAGTCTTGATCTGTCCTTTCTGTGCAGAGAAAAACTTTGAAACAGAATTTTCGACTCTGAAGGAACTTCGTCTTCATCTGTTTGATCTCTGTGAAGTGCCTCAACACACACAACCCGAGAAGGATCGCGATGCGACTCATCTGGAAGACGGTAAGAATACTGACCACAGTGAAACAGTAAGAGAGGTATACACAAAAGGTGGAAATAAAACACATGGCAAAATGAGGTGTGTAAGGGTGTTGAAAAGAAAATCAAAGGTGATTTATTTCCCATGTGACCGTTGTGAAAGGGTCTTTGCCAGTTGGAATTTTCTTGAGAAGCACAGGTGGATGCTGCATCACTGTGATAGCCCTGACATTATCTGTGTTTCTGAGAACTCTAGCTCTGATAGTTCTGACAGTCCCTTTAACGTACCATCGTCCTCCCCACCTGTGAAGCGACTTCGAGTTGAAGGGGACTTGCATTATACTTGTGCCAAATGTCCTGTCATCACGAAGGATGCTGTTCACTTTGCTGAACACATCAAGGAGCACAACTCTGACAATGCCAACCAGTGTCCTGACTGTGGCCTCTGTTTCGCAATCCTGGCCACTCTCAAGAAGCACCTGTTCCTGGTCCACAAGATCCGAGACTCAGACAAGTACTTGCAGGACAGGGGCATGAAGACGGAAGAGGAGGAAATAGACTTTGATTCTGACAATGACACTTTTAATCCGATGCAGTGACTCACCATGAAATGTTTTGGACTGTTTTAGTATGTCTCCCTCGTATTAAGAATAATGACATCTCAGAAAAAGTATTTTGACTGCCCTATCATCTTGCAATTACTACCAGTATGTCTCCATGGTCACAAGGTATTTTTGAATATTCCAAGTTCATTTTTTCGGAAAATGACATGCAGGGATTTAAAAAATATTGCTCATAGATCAGAGATTCAGAACCTGTGGAAAATCGAGACTTTATGAAGGGCTAACACATCACAGTGAAGGCTGGGCAGAAGGGAAAATATGTTTTAGAGAGTGTGAGATGGACGAGGTGATGCACATGCTTTTGTAATAACATGATATATTGGTGTCTTGACTTTCAGGTTCTTAGTAAAAAATATTGATTCATTCCTTAAATGTTTACTTCAATGGCTGTTACACTACTAATTAGTTGTGAAAATAAAGAATTGAAAAAGTAAATATTTTCATCCATTGCGTCATACTTGACACTGCCAACTGTAAATCGTCAGTGTGCCAGGTAGTTGACTATACTGTCTGTGAAAAAGATGGTTTACACACCACAGATAAGTGCACATGCAAGTATCGTGATACGTATCGGATCGCATAGTTGTGTATCTCCCCAACCCTACTACCCAATTAGATTGCTGAACCAGGTTATTATTGGAAGAACTGGTCAATCTCTCTATGAATTCATCTCATTAATTGGTTCTGTTGTGTGCAATAGCTATGAAATACATAAACATCATTTGGTTAGTCATCAGGAAAATGTGAAATGTCCAGTTTGCTAAATGTGTGAGACTTGACATGTACTCCGTTGACCAGTTTGGCCCTTCTGTTGATCTGATAAAGACGTGAAGGATGCAATTCATGTCTGTTGATTCTCACTGAAGGGGTCTGCCAGCTGTTCCTGAAGTCTGTGGGTCTGTGACCATGTGACCAAAACTCAATGATGATTTTTATCGCTAAGAGAATGGATATTTCTTGAAAAGCTCACTCTGCAAATTTTGTCAGTACTGTAGGTAATATTCCTTATCTGCAGAATCTCTTGTTTTCACCTTATTAGCACAAGTGCAGCTATCTTTGTTAATTCATCATTGCGATGTTTCATGATTCTATTTCAAGTAGCGAGAACTATAGCTGCCGTCACCATATCTCTGTGAGTGACACGAGGACGTAGCTGCCGTCACCATATCTCTGTGAGTGACACGAGGACGTAGCTGCCGTCACCATATCTCTGTGAGTGACACGAGGACGTAGCTGCCGTCACCATATCTCTGTGAGTGACACGAGGACGTAGCTGCCGTCACCATATCTCTGTGAGTGACACGAGGACGTAGCTGCCGTCACCATATCTCTGTGAGTGACACGAGGACGTAGCTGCCGTCACCATATCTCTGTGGGTGACACGAGGACGTAGCTGCCGTCACCATATCTCTGTGAGTGACACGAGGACGTAGCTGCCGTCACCATATCTCTGTGGGTGACTCGAGGACGTAGCTGCCGTCACCATATCTCTGTGGGTGACTCGAGGACGTAGCTGCCGTCACCATATCTCTGTGAGTGACACGAGGACGTAGCTGCCGTCACCATATCTCTGTGGGTGACTCGAGGACGTAGCTGCCGTCACCATATCTCTGTGGGTGACTCGAGGATGTAGCTGCCGTCACCATATCTCTGTGAGTGACACGAGGACGTAGCTGCCGTCACCATATCTCTGTGGGTGACACGAGGACGTAGCTGCCGTCACCATATCTCTGTGAGTGACACGAGGACGTAGCTGCCGTCACCATATCTCTGTGGGTGACTCGAGGACGTAGCTGCCGTCACCATATCTCTGTGAGTGACACGAGGACGTAGCTGCCGTCACCATATCTCTGTGAGTGACACGAGGACGTAGCTGCCGTCACCATATCTCTGTGGGTGACTCGAGGACGTAGCTGCCGTCACCATATCTCTGTGGGTGACTCGAGGATGTAGCTGCCGTCACCATATCTCTGTGAGTGACACGAGGACGTAGCTGCCGTCACCATATCTCTGTGGGTGACACGAGGACGTAGCTGCCGTCACCATATCTCTGTGAGTGACACGAGGATGTAGCTGCCGTCACCATATCTCTGTGAGTGACACGAGGACGTAGCTGCCGTCACCATATCTCTGTGGGTGACACGAGGACGTAGCTGCCGTCACCATATCTCTGTGGGTGACACGAGGACGGAGCTGCCGTCACCATATCTCTGTGGGTGACACAAGGACGGACCTGCCGTCACCATATCTCTGTGGGTGACACGAGGACGTAGCTGCCGTCACCATATCTCTGTGGGTGACACGAGGACATAGCTGCATTAACCGTTGCTATGTGGTTAACACAAGGACCTTGATGTGTGTCATTGTACCTCAGTGATGTGTGTTATAACAGATGGGGATACTGTCAAGACACTGGTTGTGGTACAAATCAAGTATTTGAGCAGCAATGAAATAGCTGGAATATTGCTCATTGAGGCGACAAACAATATTCACTCACTCAACATGGGTACTGAAGCTCACCTATGTCCATTAAATGTAAACAGAAGCAGTCATTTATGATTGTTTTATTTTGTTATACTTTTATGGATGGGTGACACAAAAATTGTATTGCAATATACATTGGGGCTCAAATTATATATATCTGAACTGTTTAAATGGTATTTCGTACCAGTTTTGTAATATTTCATGTCCAAATAAAAGTACTTTCTTTATAGTTATGTAAATTTATGACCTATGACACTTTTTCAAATGACCGCCTCCGTGGTCTAGTGGTAGAGCGTCCGCCCGGAGAGTGGAAGGTCCGGGGTTCGATTCCCGGCCGCGTCATACCAAAAGACATTAAAAGATGGTGCTTGTTGTTACCCTGTCTGGCGCTCAGCATTAAGGGGTTAAAACAAGGACTGGTCGGCTCGGAGTCAGTATACTGTGTCTGAGTATTCATGTTAAACTGCGGCATGGTGTCTCAGTGGGCTAGCACTATAAATCAGCATCAGTCTGGTCTAGTACAAGCAGCCACTCACACACACACACATGCATGCACATCACTATGTAAGTGCAATAATCTTGGACGCGACGTTTAACCCAATTTCACCTCACCTCACCTCACTATTTCAAAGGACCGCCTTCGTGGTCTAGAGGTAGAGTGTCCGCCTGGAGAGCAGAAGGTCCGTGGTTCGATCCCTGCGTCATACCAAAAGACGTTAAAAGATGGTTCTTGTTGTTACCCTACCTGGTGCTCGGGATTAAGAGACTAAAACAAGGACTGGTCAGCTCGGAGTCAGTATACTGTGTCTGAGTGGGGTATTCATGTTAAACTGCGGCATGGTATCTCAGTGAGCTAGCATCAGCATCGGCATCCAGACTTTGCATCAGTCCGGACTAGTACAAGCAGCCACACACACACACACGTCCATGCACGTCGCTATATAAGTGCAATAATCTTGGACGCAACGTTAAACCCCATTTCACCTCACCTCACCTCTATCTCAAGGGAGATAACTTCTCAAGATGATCGGTCATTCTAAGCAACGTCCAACAGATACATCCTTCATTATTAATAACAATAACACCCAATTTGTTTTCACAGAATAACTTTTTATTTATAAAATCGGTAATAACAGCTGAAGATGGCAACATTTGACATCAACATCACGGAAAACAAACATGATGTTCCTGGACAATGCTAATAAAAGCTTGTTCCTGTAAAACAAGAAGTGACGTTCTTCTATCAACGACATCCAGTGTATAACATGGTATCACACAGGGGAGGTAACTGCTGTACTGCAGCAGCACCAGATGCATGATGGGTACTCTACACACAATGTGTAACTTGCTCTAGGCTGGTGAATGGGTGGAAGTGCTACTAGATGAATACACTCTCAATGTTGACCTGAGGTTGCCCATAGGGAACAATGAATCTCTTTATAAGAATCCAGATTTTTAAAATAATAGTAAATATGACACTTATTCTTTTAGACTTCCACATTTTTTTAGGAAAAGAAATTTGAAAAATGAAAAAGCAAATGTTTATATTGGAACCACAGGCACTGAAATAGCAAGAAGACCTTTTGACTTTTCAATTGATTTGTCCTTTTCTACAGTTCTGTGTTTTAAAAAATGGTGAAGAAAGGTCCACAAAACCTGTAAGAGTCCATGAGGACATGTCCATTTTTGCCATATTGCTAAGGTAATCCAAGACGCAACTTTTCAGCCATTGGTACAATTCAGTGGGGCACTTATCCTGCATGTAACAGTCCATGTCTAAAGTGTTATCATGGACTGCATCAACACATCAATAACTGCATCACATCATCATCAGCTGTTTGGTCAATCTATCTACAGTAAGCTATGTTTACAACGAGCATGCTTATAACGAACCGACGGGCATATCAAACTGTGTTTTGTTTAGGTCCTGGCAATTTGCTGTATATATGCTGAATACATGCTTATAACGAACTACGGTTATGTCGAACTAGAATTAGTGCTCCCTTTGAGTTCGTTGTACCCATAGTTTACTGTAGTTTGTCTGATCAACATTACAACTGATCGGAATTATAATTAAATGTAACATCAAAACGGCAACAATGAGAGTGTATTGGTGGCTTCCAAGTGCTCAGACAATACCATTGCCCACACAACTGTATGCTTCAAACTAGACACTTGATGCAGATATGCACATCCATGCTGGGAACAGATGGCTGGGACAACAGCAGTAACCTACCTGGACACATTGTAACAATTAGTGGTGGTTAAATCTCTATATATCATTTCATTTCTACTGTTCAACATGACATTACCTTGCAAATATACAAATATTGGGTGGTGAAATAAATATTGCCTATCAAATATTACAAATACTGACTGACTTGATGCTGAAATACAGGAAGCTTGTCCTGCTGACCAGGAATCACGATGGCCGACATCAGACATTCTCATCCATCCTTACAAACCCTGTTGGTCGTGCACTAAACTGAGCATGTTTGGTTCCCAGTAAGGGTTAGCTGTGTGATAACTGACATGTCACAGTCATGTTATATGGCTGTAACACTGTTAAAAGTGGGGCACAAATATTCACTCACTCATTCACTGTCAGAACTGTTGACGTTTTGTTTTTATTGAAAACATTCCTCAAATCTACCTTGTATGGTTTAGTACATGACACTTACAAATATGTAAATTACAGTTTCGCTAATGACTAAATATGACAATCTCTAATACGATAACATATTTTAGAATATTTCAAATTGACATCATTTGCCTGATATCATTTGCAAACATTTTCCTGTCCAATATGATATTAATCTCTTCAGGGAAAATTCAAACAAATCTTTTACTATCCTCCATACTGAGCAATTCTGACAGAAATATTTGAAACTGTTCCCCGGCAGCATAAAACATCCACATTTACACGTGGCATGGCCGTCTTGACCTCCGACACGCCTGGGGATCTCCCAGATACACTACTGCCCGGAAACCAAGATGGCGGAACCTTGGTTCCCTCGCAAGAACGCTGGAATGTGAGTTGGTCTCGCAGCACTAGTCTAACACGACCTTCAGCTGGTGAATATGCTCCAATACAGAGGAAGACATAAATACATGCTTGAATAAATTACATACACTGTGTACACCAGATTCAGTAAGTAGTTGTGAGGCAAGCACAACCGAGTATTAATCCTCCATTCAGGACTACAATGGCACAGCTGCTACAGTTGACTACTGTCCACCTCCGAGAAAACAGGGCATGGCGAATACATGCACTTCTCTGGGAGATGGAAGAATAGATGGCTCTCGGCTATAAGTAAAGAAGATTTGAAAAGCTCTTACACAAGTTAATCTTTTATCAGATACCATGAGTCGGACATTCACAAACTGTTGGGAGTCAGAACACCACATGCAGGGCATGCGATGTGAAAGGGTGCACATGACCTTTGAGGGTGCAACTATACAGTTGTGGCAGAATGCACATTATTATTGAAGTTTGCGATATGATACATACCATTATATATGAAAATTTATATTTACTGATATCATAAAAACTCAGTATTGACATCTGAAACTGTATCTTTGCACCCTTAAGGGTTTGATATTAGTATGATACTGATTAATACCCGCCCTGATACGGATCAGATCTGTCCAGAGACCTGATATAACCCTGATCCTGATCCTGATGTTGATGTTGATGTTGATCTGACTGGGCGTCCCATTTGACATCACATCAACATAGATACAGTTTGATCAACGTCTACAGAAGAAGAACGTAGAGACACGATCAATATCACCTTGTAGACAGCAAATTTAACAACTTTAATATAGGAAGCAGGATCTGCTTCACGAACAAGGCTCCCCACGATGCCTAGATTTATCTCCCCTTGATTGACATGCTTACAGTGCAAGACATGATTATGATGAATATCTCCATTGAATAAAGTGTTCGTACCTAGCAGTCCTCAGAGAGTTAGCTACAAGGGGAGATACTCCTAGAGGTACAATGAAAACCCAGGTCATGACAATCATCACAACTGGGAGTGCCGATCCTCTTCCATTAAATCCATTCACGCACAGTCATCCATACACACACCTCTTGTTGCCTAGCAGCACACCGAGAGAACAGGTCCAGAGTGAAGTGACTAGAGTTCGGTAAAGTTTGTAAGGCAGGATGACACTGACTCTTCATTGATATCCATTCTTACAAGCAACTGATGGCAGTAAGATGTCGACAGCAAGGTCACAAGCTCAGTTTAACCCTGAATCTATGAAGGCTTCTGCTCCAATGACCTCGCAATGTGGAAGCCAAACAAAAGCTGACGTACTGGTTTGGGCTTATTTTTCACTCATCTAGGTGACCATGTCTTCCATTACAATGACCGCAAATTGTACTACCGGTAGATACGATGGCTATTCCATATGTCATCTCTCTCTCTCTCCATCTGTTGCTGGGCAACAAGCCTCTCTCCCAGGTCCAGCACAGTAACAATCTACATCTTCTATCTCCTATCATAACTCGGTGCACAGATCCGAGGTGTAGCCTGGTGGTCGGATGTGTTGCGAGACAGTTTCAGAGGTCATGCTGCTGTTGATGCTTCTGCTTCCTGATTGGTCACTTGGTGCCGGTGACGGACGGGACGGGGGAGCATAGCGAGACCCAGATGACAGACGTTTTGACGGATCTATGTGACTTCGAGAGTTGGACTGGAAATAAGGAGAAAAAGTTCATGTTATCACAACATTCTTACCATAATTGTCTCCATATATGAATTATCAAAAGTACATAACACTTAATAATTGATGCCTTAATATAAAATAAGTACATATCTCTTAATGTGTTATAAAAGTATGACCTCCGACCTCAGACATTTCATTTTCCAATTTAACAAATACTGATAAAATGAAATAAAAGAAAACATAGCTATACAGAGGACAGTTAATGATGTCAGTGTTCGAAATTCGGGGGGGATGGGATGGTCCCTGGATCTTTGAGGTTTTTTATGGGTTTTGAATCTAGGGACCCTGTAAAAACTGTACCCTTGCAATTTGGGTTATGACATGCTGAATTATGAACACTGGTTGTGTTCAACATAAATGTTGATACTCACAATTATCGTACGTCAAGTACATGTATATGTTATGGACCACATTTTACATACAACAAACTTGACTGACCAAAAACAAGACAAAAGTGAGCATGGGCTCACTAATACTCCGAGTTCGACTCCAACATGTTTCCAAGTTCAAGACATGAAAAAGCAATATTTTCTCAGAAAATCCACTTATCATAATAGACTTTGCACTGCACCTCTCCAATTGGTACAGAAAACTGTTCCCGAAATGTGAAAAGAATCCATCAAGTATCTTTCCAGTTATAGGTCACACAAATGTTTCAATAATAACATTCAAAGTAAAAATACAAAATAGCTGTATTTTTTCAGAAAATCCAAATATTGAAAACACACTTTGCACTGCACCTCTCCTATTGGTAAAGAATCTGTACCGACAATTGGAAAGAATCTATGACATAGTTTTCAAGTGAGAGGTTGCACAAATGTTAAAGTAAACAAAATTTCTAAGTTCACAACATGGAAAAAACATCATGTGTTTTCAGAAAATACACACATCAAAATCAAACTTTGCTCTTCACCTTTTCTATTAGTATGGAAATTGTTACCTAAATTTGAAAAGTTGTAGGTCACACAAATGTTTAAGAATAATAATTCTAAGTAAAAAAAGCCTCTCTTTTCAGACAATCCAAATATTGACATCATACTTTGCATTGCATCTCTCCAATAGGTTTAAAAAGTGTTCACAATAAAAGCTCGCACCAAAAATATGTTCCTAGAAGGACAGACGGAAGGATGGAATTCCTTGGTATCAGCCAAGCCCTTTTAGGTTGGGGTTATAAGAGCCTCTGGGGCAAGATTTTCATCTTGATGTGGGATGAGGAAACAAACAACTCGTGGCCCTTCATTATCGTACAATAAAACACTGCAGGGAGAATAAACATACCGGTGTACACAATGATATACTGTGATGTCATTTCTACTGTGATGTCATTAAACATTGTCAACAATGATGTCTGTTTAATGCCAACAATGATGTCTGTATGTCAACAATTGTATTTGTATTATAGCAACAATGCCTTAAAGTGAGTTCTTGCACATCCTTCAAATCTTTAACGGTATGGATAAAAAATATGTTCATATTAGTGGGTGATAAGTCATTGCCTTAAAACCATAAATATATCTGGTAAACTTATGGAATGTCAAGTCTGAGTGGCATTGTTCAAGATGTTAATACCAATATTGTTGCCTAAAAATATTGGTGAGCCAGGAAATAAATGACTGGATACACAGCATAGCTAAGTCTACATACAGGAAGTATATCTGTAGCAAAAACAAAACTATGTTGACCCCGACGTGATTTGAACACGCAACCTTCTGATCTGGAGTCAGACGCGCTACCGTTGCGCCACGAGGTCCCCTGCCTTCTCCTGGGGAAACTTGACTATACTAGCTGTAGCCTTGCCAGACTTTCAATCAATGCCAGCAGAGCTAAACATAGCACAGCCCTGATCAGCTGGGTCAAGTTGACCCAGAACAAAGGAAAGTTCTCCTCACGATGAGCAGCCTAGCAGGAGGCTAGCCTTTCCCTCACACTCCAGCCCTAAACACTGGCATAGCCTCCACATTGTTGGATAGTTTATACATCTGATGAAGTTACTGATGAATGTTTACAAATTTCTATTTCAAAATATACTCCAGCCCTAAACACTGGCATAGCCTCCACATTATTGGATAGTTTATACATCTGATGAAGTTACTGATGAATGTTTACAAATTTCTATTTCAAAATATTCATATAATCTTGTAACATGTTCAAAAAGATTTCCTTGACTTTTAAAACTGAAAGATTACAAAAACTCCCAAGATAATACATATTACTGGAGTTTGTAAAAATAAATGGAAACAGTTTTTCCTCCGTTGATTGGTTGTTTAGGATGCTTCCATCGATGCTGTGCTCCGATCTATAGATTGTTGCTAAATAGATACCAATGGAAGATGGGCAACATTCACAAACCCATGTTCAAATTAGTTATGCATGTGTGAATCCCGCACAATTCCAACACCAGGAAGATACCGCATTGGTGTGAGCTGAGAGCAACCATCAAAGTATTAACCACAAATATTGATTAAGTTTAGGAATGGACAATATTTCAGATGTCAGACGCCGATTCCACAAATACTTCTATCGATTCTATGATTCACTTCCTGAACACAGCATGAACATCTTGGAAAAGGTTTCAGTCGAAAACTGTTTTCACAAACAAACCTTATCACGACACCTTCGAGGCCAATACTTTCATTAGGTTTATGCTCTTGACATCAGAACTGTCTCTATTTTTCATGATTTTGTACTGAAGGATCTGTGAAGATCCGGGTTAGAATAGGTCTTCAGCAACCCATGCTTGCTATAAGAACTGACTATGCTTGTCGTAAAAAGCGACTAACGGGATCGGATGGTCAGACTTGCTGACTTGGTTGATGCATGCCATCATACCCCAGTTGCATAGATCGATGCTCATGATATCAATCACTGGATTGTCTGGTCCATACTCGATTATTTACAGACCGCCGTCATATAGCTGGAATATTGCTGAGTGCAGCGTTAAACAACAATCAACAAACAAACAAATTGTACTGAAGGGCTCCTCAGAAAATTATCTGTGTAGTTCACTATCTGGGAGTCCCCAAAATATATGTCTGCATTTAATTGAAGATAGGTCACTGAACTGAATAAAAAAATAATGTCAATCATTATTTTTTTCATCAATAATAAACTGAACTAAAAATGTTAATCACGTACATATGCTTTCATTTTGATCCAAAATACAGCTCATGAAGAGACACCCATGGGTGTTCATGGAGAAGTCCTAGTGTTATATCAGACAAGATGAGGCACAGTGTTGAGCACTCCTGGTCAGCCTCTAGACCAGCCTAAAACTCATCTCATAAACATCCTGTATTAAGCCTGAAAATGGACATGACAGTCTTTATGTTCTTCTGTAAATTACAGATTTTTCTAACATAAAACAAGGCAATATTAAAGGGACATTGCCTAGCAACTATTATCAAAATTATTTAAGTTTCATCGACATTTAAACAAAGTTTATTTCTACTGCAACAACAACAAATTTAACTTGTGTATGGTTTTATTAAGTGCTGGTTCAATGGGTTTTTTAGTAAAAAACTGAATAAGACTGGTCTAGCTTAGTATGCAGTAGATTTTGCATGTTAGTTGAGATAGAGTTGAAATATAGTCAAGATATAGTTGAAATAATAGCTGAGACAATAGTTGAGATACAGTTGAGCATTATAACAATTGTTCCGTTGCTTTCATTGTTTGCAGGCATGATGATAATTGAAGATGATGTCATCCATTCATCATGGTTCAAGAGAGTGTTTCATATGTCAGTCAACAACCGAGTAAATGTGCCGATTTCTACATTTGAGATCAGGCAACCCTCATTTTTCTACATTTGAGACCAGGAAACTCTCATTTTTCTACATTTCAGATCAGGAAAGCCTCATTTTTCTACATTTGAGACCAGGAAAGCCTCATTTTTCTATATTTGAGACCAGGAAAGCCTCATTTTTCTACATTTGAGATCAGGAAACCCTCATTTTTCTATATTTGAGACCAGGAAACCCTCATTTTTCTATATTAGAGACCAGGAAAGCCTCATTTTTCTACATTTGAGATCAGGAAACCCTCATTTTTCTACATTTGAGACCAGGAAACTAAATTTTTTACATTTGAGACCAGGAAAGCCTAATTTTTTCTAATTTTGACATCAAGAAAGCCTCATTTTCCTACATCTGAGACCAGGAAAGCCTAATTTTTCTATATTTTCTCAGAAAAAAGACAATGCATAATACAATTTGGTATTAGGCCATCCTCATTATGAAAAAGATGGTTACGCACCACAGAGCACATGCAAGTACCATGATACATATCGGATCATGAGTAAGGCATCGTGATACGTATCAGATCGCACAGTTGGTGTATCGCCCCAGCCCTGACGACCCCCGAGTACAAGCCTTCAAAATCTTTGCTAATTTATATACCCTGTCTATAAGGCGAATTATGATGAAGACCATCACCAGCAGATACACAATCCCTATATTTGCAACAACAACGTGTTTGTCTTCCAATGAAAAACAATTACATCGTATCCCAGCAAATTTAAGGAAACAAAGAGATCATAACAATTAAACTTGGTCAATACAAATTTGCAATTTGAGATAAAACATCACTAGACATGATGATTTACTGATTAAATTGCCGGAAGCAGCCATCAGCTGTACACACGTTTTCTCGGAATATACCTGTGATTCGGTTAAAAATTACGCAATATAAATTTTAAGAATTTTCATACAATGATCCAAAGAATTGTATCTGAAACTATGTTTTTAAATAATTTATTCCAATATCATGTTATTTTAGCTGCAGCTTTACTTTATATATTTGAAATAAATTAATAACCATAAGCATAGCACTTTGGTACAGCTGATCGCATTTTAAGGCATCAATAGTGGTAATCTGACCGTGGTTGCTGTAAGTAACGGTGATTTGTGTGATCTACCAATCACTTCACTGAAATGAATGAATACAATATTGAATTTTGAATAAAATTA